AGAGACATAGATGGATAGTAGGATTTAGCAGGATGCTAGAAGCTACAGTCTGTTGATGAACTATACCAGTACTTTCATATTAACATTGCAATTAAACTACACCAATTGTGGAATTTTAGAATTGAAATTCTAAAATGAAAAATATTAACAGCACTTTCTTTTAATGCTGGTAACTAATTTTCCTAGTTTGACCTTTCAGACCATCTCTAGTAATGCAGTCTAAAGCCTAGCTGCAGCACACAGTTGCGGTGACTCGTGACTGTAGCCCTTTTGTTCAAATACAGGGTTTAAATGGCAAGTGCCGTTGATGGCTCTCTTGATATGTCATTTCCAGCTACTGCCAGGGAGATGTTGCTTATCACTGAAGGACATTGGGTGTGAAGCACATTGAGTCTGAAATATCTTTTTATAAGCAAAGCACACCACTGAGGCTGGCCATACATGTCATTTCAGTAATTTGGCAGACTATACTGGATAGAGCTTGCAGTAGACCAAGCATAAATCAATGAGCAACAAACTAACAAAAGCAACAGTAAAGTGGAAAGCTCCAGCTCCCCTTTTGAGCCTCCACTGTAAGAAGAAGCTGTATGAGTGAGAGCAAGAAACTACAGTCACAGAGGCGTTGGAACCATGACCTTTGTATTGTTGCTGTACAGAAAAAATATTCTTTTTGTTTCGGTTTTTAATTGTATAAACATAATTTTAACACAGCAGCAGTCTTTTACATTGTGTGATCAGTTCATGATGAATGGGCCAATGGAAATGCTCCAAAATGGCTTGGAATAAAATCCCTTAACATTAGCTTAGATTAAAAGTTAAGAATATTTTTTGCCTTCTCCTGTAACGTTAACAATTTGGAAAGAAATATTATATATACAGTAGTTGTTAGAACATGCAGCCGCTATTGCTCTCACTGGACGTCAGCGATGGAAATCGAGAACTACATTCATCCATTTTATTTTCACCCTGTGTTCACGTGAGCGATCTATTCACATGGTGAAAATAATATCACTGAATTACAGAAAGTAATAAATACATTTTGATGAGGCTTTTTTGCCCATTTACATAGCTATAACAAAATGCACTGCTTTTTAAATGAAAAAGAAATCTTACTTTAGGATCAAATTTGAGCAAAAAAAGACAAGATCTGATTAATTAAGTTAAATTATTTCAGTTGTCACCAGCGACCCAGAAGGATAAGCGGTTTAGATGATGTATGTATGTATGTATGTATGTATGTATGTATGTATGTATGTATTTCACTTGTTTGACAGCCTTAATAATTAGTTAGTTAGTGATAAAGTTCAACATAGTATGTGCTAATAAAATTCTCAAGCTTTTTAAAACACATGCGGCAGAAAAAGCAGCTTAGTGTTTTATTTTACTATCTATATGCCACCACAGTTGAAGTTACTCCTTCAATCATATTTTTGAGTTCAGTGAAGTTTTTACAGATGTTAAAAATAATCAGGCAGATCTAATCATGGTGGAATTTGAGATTTCATGATGCACGGGTTCATTTTGTAAAGAACTTTACTCAGAACAAATCCTTGAGATTTGCATGCCTGCTAGTTGGGCTTGTAGATAGTGTTTGTGCTGCTTGGTGGCGGTCAGTTAGTGGTCAGGGTGGAGAAGAGGCTCAGTGCATGGCTGCTGTGTATTTAGCCCTGCTGGCCCCTGGCAGGGCGCACTCCTCAGCCTCAGAGCAACAAGGCCAGGCTCTGTTTGCAGAGGACCAGCAGCCCAGGGCCTCTGCAGAGAGACAACATGGGAACAGCTGTTTAAAGAGCAGAGCCAGACTGCCTCCACACACGCACAGCTTTATACAGTAGTACTGCTGTTATAGGCTGGATATTTGCAAAATAAGAAGCTGACAGCTTGAGAGCAGCGTGGCATGAAATCAGGGTTTTCTCTTTTCACTGAAAAGGGTGATTGACTCAGAGAAGAGCTCTTTATTGTCAAAGATTAGTTGAACCAGAAAAGAGCAGAGAAGAACTTTGTGACAGATGCAGAAACGATATCAGCCCATCAGACACGTTTCTCAAGTTTCCTCTTTTTCGGAAATTGTTTTACTGGTCTACTACACACCTGCTCCATTACAGTAAAACTGCACTAAAGGGAAATGACTGCCATGTGCAGTGACAAAATTGAGGAAATGTAGAGTCGTCAAAACATCAAATTACCTGTAAATGCCCATAAATCTAATACCTGTAAATTGTTCACTATCAACTTGGTTTTAAACCATGGTTTAATGAAATGTTGATATTTATCACTTTCATCACAATTTATTTTCAAAATTGCTTGTCATTTAACAGCCCTAATTCTTGAAGACCTAGTTGTCATACTCACTAAACCAGGGGTCGACAACCCAAATGTTAAGAAGAGCCATTTTGTCCTTTCATCTAAAAATCAAACCACCATGGGAACCACATTTTGTGTCCCATTTTACCATCTTGGCTGTAAATGTTTCTCAGTATGTGCCAAAGTTCTAAACTATGCAGACTTTTTTGCTCTGCTTTAAGCTTTAGCTCAGCTATAGCTGCTTTTCTTGCATCTCTGGCAGGAAATGTTTCCGCAAAAGTGGAAAAGTTTCTGGTAAAATGTCTCAACATTCGACTTTTTACGAGGCTGCAGCTTCGTCAGCTTCTTATTCGAATTTTCCCGTTCCACCGTATATGGGGCCTGAGGCGCCAGAATGTAACTGCTGCACCATTTAAGGTGGAACGGGGAAATTTCGAACAAATATGTGGCAAATGAGAAAAGGACTTCAGTTTTGTGACTTTTTAGTTCTCGTTGCAGATTAAATGTGTCAGGAAACCAGCTGGAGTGATTATAAAGGCAAATAAGTCTATTTGTCTCTAAATTATCAATGTTTGTCTTAAATCATTGTCTTTGCCTTTTCATTAGCTCCCAGCTAGGTGAGATTGTTGTCTGCGTTACTATGGCGACCAGCACGCCAGCCTTCAGGGTTGAAGTGTGAATTAACAGTTATACGTTAACTCCAGCGATTAAGACCATTTATTGTTAAAACAATGTTAGAATGATCAGCAGAGCTTCATTTTACTGCAAAGACGGATTATTATTATTTTTTTTTACATAAAAATCTAATTTTGCTGTGGAGCCACAAAAGAACAGTAAAAGAGCTGCATGTGGCTCCGGAGCTGCATGTTACCGACTCCTGCACTAAACCTACTCTGATTTTGAGCTTTGAACTCAAATGTAAAGAACATATGCCATTTTCTTTTCTAGCACTGTTCCTTTGATATCTACTGTTTTGCTTAGCAGTCGGGCCGATACATTTGATCTATGGTATCCCAGTTATGTGTTGTATATTGTACAGTAGTGTTTTGCATTCAGTCGTGCCAGTATTTGTTGTTGTATTTGTATTATAACAAAATATACCAGGACAGGTGTTTATTTATTGAATACTTTCTCCTCAGTCAGACTGTAGAGTGCACTCATGAATGAATACCATATGTCTAGAATGGGGGAATGAGGTCAGTGTTGAATGTACCTTTCTTCTCCTCCATTAGCCACAGTCTGCTTGGCTCTGTCTTGAGCAATAGCACTGTGACGAACAGAAGCCCCCCCCCCAAAAAAAAACCTCTTGCGTTTGATGTTTGACCCTGGGTGTGGTGGTGGAGAGTGAAAGTTGGGATGGGGGTCTTCTGGTAACATAAACCCTTCAGCTCTAAAAATAGCCGAGGCAGGAAGAGCCTGCGTGTCTAGGGCCTCATTGGCTAATTACAGGCCAAGGTTAAGTGTGCAAGCAGGGAGAGAGAAAAAACTGGCTGCACCCAAAAGGGCTTGGGCTAAGAGTTAGTGCTAGTGCAGCCCTGGTCCTGCCTTCTGTCTCCAGTCAGGCCCTGTGGACTGTGTTCTTACTTGAGAGGTACTGTGTAATTCACTGTCCAGCGTCTGGACTGTTGTAGAGAAGTCCTGCCTCAAACCAAATACTGACCTTTTACACTTACTAGGAGTGTAACAGTGCATCGTTACATTGAGACATCGCAATGTAAACGTGACGGTGCATAAAGAATGAACATTCTATTATGCTGTCTAATGCAGTTACATTGTTTGAAGACTTGAGTTTGCCAGTCAACAGCCCACACCAGCATGTTCATTAGTAAACTGTGCAGCATTTTTTATTTGATTTTTGTCCAAAATATCAAATTGTGCACATGGAATTGAGAATTGTAATTGAATTGGCAGAGTATATTGTTACATCCTTATACGTTACCTCACTTCACTGAATCATGCCTAGGTTTGAAAGTTAGTTAACATTAGGTGGCTAAAATTAACAATGATTTAACATGGCTTAGTTACCATTTATAATATTTTACAGTCCTTTGCTGCATATTGCAAATAGCCAAACACCACTAATTATTTTAATACAGAAAAGAAAAAAAGTTACTTACCATTATTTTTAATGTGTCTTGCAGAAGTTCTGCTACATCACCTGGGCGATAACTTGCTCTACATCCCCTTTCATTTCCCAATGTGAACATAAACTTGTGTGTATTTGGGCACCCCTGTCAAATTACATGTTCTTGGAACACACTTATGCACATTTTAATGCACAATTACTGTTTCATTTGCTGAATTTAACATACTGGGGGGGAAATAAAATATAAAATGTGGCCTGTGCAAAAGTTAAGGCACATTTAGTATTTTTACATTTATTATTTTTTTTTATTGTTTTTTTTTGTTCCAGGACAATGAAATACAAATTTGTGCACTAAAATTTCCAGACTCTGTGTTTGACTCTGTGTTGGTGCATGCACAAGGTATGGGTACTCCAGGTCTAGGGCTGGAAAACCCTGCCCTAATAGAGGGCTTTGTTTTTGTAGCTATTCTGTAGGAATCCCGCACTTTCTAATAGCTTTGTTCTGATTTCAGTACAAGCAGAATTTGTCTTTGTGTGCTGAACAGATCTACGGTCAGGAAACTTACTGTTTGAACGCTGCTGATCTGTATACCCCTTTTATCCACTTTTATAGGAAGTCCAAGGCAAAGCCAAATGGTAAGAAGCCGCCCACAGAGGAGAAAAAGCAGTACCTGGAGCCGGACTACACCAAAGTGAGGGTTGTTGATTTTGACCTTAAGGAGCTGGTAGTGTTGCCACCAGAAATCGACCTGAACGAATGGCTCGCCAGCAACAGTAAGTCATCTTGAGTGACATTCGTCTTTATTCATCTTCAGTGGCTCAATGACAGGGGCTTGGAATGGTGATATCTGATGCAACTAGTTGCTCTTTTGGTCAGAACGAATTAATTGCACACATTCCAGAATTGCACATATATCTCAAATATAGTGATCCTATCAGATCAGTTCAGAGGAATGTTTTCAGACCCGCAGCCATGGGAAACCTTCCTGGTCTTATCATGTTGTGTCTACCGGAGATATTTCTACAGCCCTCCAGTTGTTTCACGTCTGTCCATCACAGGAAGAACCCAGCACGTTCTTTCACTTACATAACTGCTTGATAGACTGAACTTCGATTAACATTCCACATCCCAAAGATCATAGACCATTGTTTGCTTTTTCCTTGATTTTTATCTTTGGGTAATGCTTTCAGAAAAGAAGCCACAGAATAACATAAAACATGGGCTTATTTTGGGGGCCGTAGTGTTTTTCCAAGATGGAATCGACGGTTATGCAAACGCTACAGCAAGGCTCTGCATGAAAGCCTTATATGGTTAATTGAGACTATTGCTCTACGCTCATTTAGTGCAGTTGCACTTTAGCTTTTTTCTGCCAAAGGCTGGTAATTATTTTGGAATCTGAAAAAAAATTTTATCACTTGACTGCAGTTAGAAACTGAGGCAGTTTGTTGTAGTTATGTCTGAAGTAAAAATGCATGAGGTGATGTGGTGGTACTTTTCAGCCTTTTTTTCACATCACTGTAAAACTGAACTTAATCATAGCAATATTACACCTCCCTAATATTACTAACTTAACTCCTTGCTTAATTTATTTTTTTTAGCATTTTGTAAAAATAGACATTTATTTTTTGCTGAATAGCACCTCATTGACCTTGACTCAGTCACTGAGCCACCCACTCATGAGCTTGGATGATTATTGTCTGTAGAATTACGGTGTTAAATGATATCATCATGATCCAGATTTAGATATGAACTAGTGCACGTGAGCTTTACAGGGCCTTAACCTATAGCTTGCAATTTCCCTGAAGATAATATAAATACCATATAACTACCAACTGGGCTAGCTTCTAATAATACTTTGTTTATTTTGTTAACTATTCTATACAGATGACATATAACACTGTTAACATTCAGTGGTATTGCCAAACTGGTGCCCTTCTGAACAAGAATGTCAGTTTTACTCTCTAATGGAGAGTTTATTGCATATTCCTCAGTATTGTGTGTGACTGAAAATCGACCTTATGTTTTCAAGTGGTTGGCTTTTAAAATATGTGTTTGTGTAGTTAATTAGTTAATGTTCTATTTGTACATCCTTCAAGTATGAGCAATCTTTTCTAATGCATTCATTTTTAAAGCAACCATAATTTAGAATGATTATATTGATTGAATTGTTAAATAAAGGCAAAGCAATAAAAAATAAAAGGATGTGACGGTAAAGAGAACAAAAGAGCAATCATTTGCATAATATCAGTGCATACGTAGTCAAATTATGTTACGTTTTGTTGATTTTCTCAGGAAAAGTTAACAAGGGTGTTCATATATCTTCATATATCACTGTATTTGATGGTCAGTCTTTGCCCCAAAGCTACCCACTTGCTCAGTCACAGTCACTCACTCAATCATCTTTAGATGGCTGAAGATTCTCCACAAGAGGGTGCTAGTAGTAATTTGATGTCAGTAAGTTTTAGTGTTTCTGAGTGGTGCTTGACTAACACTGTGTATCCTTGTTATTTAGAAAGATTTTTAAATACTATGCTATATATTACAATATATCTTATTGTCCATTTTAGCTTTGCCTAACAAGATGGCAAATTTCTGTGTAATTAATTATAAACCAAGCCTGTATAGAATGAAAGTTGAGTGATCCAGTGAATAACCTGTGAGTCATCTTTGGTCAGATTACTGCAGACCAAACGAGGCCTTTCACAGTAACAACATACAGCAACACAGCCACAGTATGGTACTTCTGTCCATACTGTATGGCCTTAATTCCTGCCTGAGTGTAATAAGGCTATAAGACAGCTGTTTAAAGAGTAGGGCATACACTATAGCTCTTACTAGGTCTGAGAAAATGCTAGGACCCTGTTTGACCTTTTGTATTCTCTTTGTCTCCACAGCCACAACATTCTTCAATCTCATCAACCTGCAGTACAGCACAGTGTCAGAGTTCTGCACAGGCGATACGTGTCCCGTCATGTCCGCCTGCAACACGTAAGTCCTGCTGCTGCTCTGTTCTGGATTATTTATGCTCACTTTGCCATCCATTATTCATCCTGCAGCCTGAGGGAAAGACACGGCACAGGCAACTCAACACCTCAACCGGTGACCCTAAGGGGTCGTTACCTGGGCCTGAGGTCAAGGCCTAGCAGCGTGCTTTGCTGCTGGGAGATGGAGTTAGCAGTCTCGTGTTTTGGCCTTGCTGATAGAGATGAGACAGGAGAGATTACAGTGCCCTGAGCACAAAGGACACGAGTGCACACGTGCATGTGTGTATTTGTCAGTTTGTGAGGACCAAATGTCCTTGTAATAGGAGAACATGATAAAGTTAAAAAAATAAACAAGTGCTAAAAGATTACCTTTTTGTTACTAAAGGTAAGGGTGCGTTGAATTCTCTTGCTCCAGGCCAAAGTAGAAAATGATAGATTTTATTTCTAGTTCTGTTAGTGTTCACACTAACGTTGATCTGAAAGATGTAAACAGAAGTCGTGGACAGAAAGTCAGAACAGATTGGACAGATTGAATGACGAATATTTGGTGACAATAACTGTGATAATATCATACCAAACTTTGACACATGCTGTACTCTGGCTTAACTGATCTTGTGAGTTGTATGTATGTCTTGGTTTATCAGTCTTGTGATATTCATTAAGCCACAAGAAGCTGCTTATCTCCATGACACAAAGCTAAGTGTGTCACTGTGATAAAACACTGCCTTGAGTGTCTCACCATTTTCATAAAGCGAACAAAAACTTAAAAATTGAAATGAGAAGTCATATGTGTGTGCATCAAGCATGTCTCAGCTACATTAAAACAACAAAAAAACTGCATTTTATTAGTAGTAATTCAGGGATCATAAGCAGATTATAAACACATCTATGTGTCAAAACAGTAATTTTTTTACTGCAGGTATCAAAGACGTTATTTAGACCAGAGATGACGGCTCAACTCCACTCTCAGCTCTTGGAACTGGTTAGCCGATATTGGATGGTTGCTTAGCCGAGCTGTTTGAAATGGAGAGAGTAGAAGTGCTGATTATCTCTTATTTACTCTGATTCTACTGAGAGGAACTGATCCTAGATCAGCACTGCAACTCTGCTAAGCTTTGTGAATGTGAATACAGGCCCAGATGTGCTAACTAATTTGTGAAGACATCACCCAAATGTGTCGGTTATCGGACAGTAAAAATGTGAAACTGAAGCTAAAGCTTCCTATATATGTGTGTGTGTGTGTGTGTGTGTGTGTGTGTGTGTGTGTGTGTGTTATTTGTTAAAATGAATCACACAAACAGAGAAATCACACCAGGATTCATTTAAATGGAACCAAACCTGGCAAGTGTGAACACACCCTATCGGATTTAGGCTGCTCAGCTGCAGTATTTCCAGTCAGTGTGTTGGTCAGAACCGAGATTCATGATGTTCAGCATGGTTTATATCTAGACTGTTTAAATGCATAAAACCATAACAAATTTACCGTCTACTCTAATTCTTACTCTGTCCTTCCTCTTAAAAAAAAATAATAATAAATAAATAAATAAATAAAAGCTTGCAGGAAGATCATGAGGGTGGAAACTTTCATATGTGCTGATTTAGCTGGAAACGCTCTCTGTGTTCTTTGTCTGCTTGACTTTGAATTCTCAGTTTCGTTATTAGTGAAGTGAGGATGTGTGCATAGAAGAACTTTTGTTTGTGAAGGCGACGCCCAGGCAGCTGCCGCCGTTGCTGTAAATGGGTCACCTGCCAGGAGATAATGTGAAGAAGGAAAGACGTTGGCCCAGAGCCTCAGCCAGCAAATCAAACAGATCATAAATATACTGATCTCTATAAGCAGATGGTCACGTACACATTTTAGTTAATGATAATCCAGCGTCAGTTGGGCTATTATGAGCATTATATGGTCTCCAGTAATACAAGGAGATCAACAGTCATTTATTACTGCTGTAAGGAAAAGAATTGGAGAATATTTTGGGGCTTCGGGGAAAGTGTTTCATTGACACTCATCACCGTTCTGTCTCTGTCTGTTCTTCTCTCAGGACATACTACTGGTATGATGAGAAGGGAAAGAAAACTAAATGCACAGCGCCACAGTATGTAGACTTTGTCATGAGTTCAGTCCAGAAACTCGTCACTGATGAGGACATCTTTCCCACTAAGTATGGTGAGTATGGTCCTCTACTGCCACCTAGTGGTGGAACATAGACATTACGATCAGCCTGCTGCATACTAAAGATTGAACGTGTCTACTTTTGCTATTGTTTGAATCAAACTTTTTAATTTATTGAGTTTTGCTAGTTATGAGAGAATATTAGTAACATTTAATGATGGTGGTGTTGTTGTTGTTGTTGTTGTTATCTGTCCTTAACCTGGCATTCTGAATGAATCACTTAACACAGTGTCATTGGAAGAGCTGCAGGTCTAGTCTTGTTCTTTAAAGGGGATTTCCACTGATTCCTCCCCCCACACACAATTTTTACATAATTCTGTCGTTGCAAATTCATTCTTAGTGTTTCGATATGAAATGGTACATTGTAGAGAAAGTAACTGATTTTCTTTACAGTGGTGGTGATGGGAACCAGTAATCACTATATGTACAACTCAAATAGATCTTTTATATGCTCTACAAAATGATCAGTCAACCTTCATGTGTCTACTGAGTTTTTATATGTTATATTGATAATGATAAATCAGTGATAGTTACGGTAAAATAATGCATTATCTTAAAACTGTCATGTCTCAGGCATTAGGCAGTGTATTCGTAGTCATTTAATATAATTACTTTATATAAGGTACCTTTTTTACTGGGTATTTAATGCTTTAGACAATGAATAAAAAAAAAGTTTGGCACGTTTTTCCTTCTCTCTTATTAAGTTACCACTTTGAAGTTCTGAGTTTTATTGAGAATAATACAGACTACTCACTTTTATATTTCACTCATCCTCTGCAGGTAAAGAGTTCCCGAATGCCTTCGATTCACTGGTGAAGAAAATCTGCAGATACCTGTTCCACGTGCTGTCCCACATCTACTGGGCTCACTACAAGGAGACGGTGGCAATGGACCTGCACGGACACTTAAACACCCTCTACACACATTTCATCGTTTTTATAAGGGAATTCAATCTGATGGACCCCAAGGAGACTTCCATAATGGATGACCTGACGGAGGCTCTGTGCACGCCCCTGCCCCAAACTCCACAGAACCACGTCACAGAGAGATGAGGCCCATAGCCCTCTCTGGTCCTGCCAAGCTGGGGTCCCCCACCCCCCAACCCCAGGGAGGAGAGAAGGACTACAGCGGCCCCGCTGGTGCTGGAACTCTCAGCCCTTCAACCGCCCACAACTTTGCTCTCTTTTAGGACCCAGTCAGTCAGGAGTGATCAGCCAGACCTGCGAAGGGGCAGCACATGCTGAAAATTCTCCTGAGGCTGTCCTGTCTGTGAGCCTAGCCCTTTAACCAGGAACGATTCAGAACTTTCTTGCTCCCTCCTCCCCTTTTAAGAAAGCGGTTTGGTTTCCTTTTGCCCCCTGCACTATTGAGTTTGAGACACTTGCTGGTTTATTTTTTATTTTCTTTTGTCCAGAGTGACATTAGCGCTTCCCCTTTCAGCTCACGTTCAACAGAACGTGAGGAAGCTGATAGCAGCACTATTTTTGTAGGCCAGGTTGTCTACCTTTTCTCTTCAGTTTCCTTAATATAATGTTATTCTCTCTTAGTTTTAGTTTTTTTTTTTCCCCCCATTTGTTCACCTTGAATCCTCTGTCTGACTACTTTCCACCAACTGCTCTTTTACCCAGCATCTCTGTATCTGACAAAATTGCTGCACCTTTATTTTCCTTATTAGCGTAACCATATTAGATAATCTAGAGATCTAGAGAGACTTTACTGCCCCTCAGTGGTCTTGTGGTCAGGTTTGACCTCCTCCTGCACTGGAGCCTCCCGCAGGCAGTCATGTTGGATCGATCCAGGGAGCCATGTTGGCCGAACGTCTGCGCTTCGTGGTGCTTTCCCTTCACATGCAGCACGACGACAAAGACAATGCTTTTGTCTGCTCTACGTTTGAATGCTGTTCTCTTGGGCAGAAACAAAAAAAGCCCAGGCTACTAAAGTCCCCCATAGCTAGTAGGTCCAGTCAAGGTACATCCCACATTTAGCGGAAAAAAAAAGCATAAACGAAAATAAGGCTAAGGGAATAATCGGGCTGGGATCAGTGGCAAAGACATGTAATCATGTCCGAATCAACGTATCGTCTTGGCTCGCTTTGCAAGGACACTTTCTAAATGGAAACAGTGGAAAAGAATGTAAATCTAGTCTTTCTGTATTTAACTGTTTAAGGCTATTATCCAGAGCGAGTGAGTGTGCGAAAGAGAGAGAGAGAGAAAAGTGTAAGTAAACACGAAAGAGAAAGAAAGAAAGATATTTTAAAGTCCTCCCTTCATCACTGTTCAGAGAGTTCTCTTAGGCCGAGGTTCTCTTGTTAGAGGGTTGGATGTTTTTCATTTTAATTTATTTATCTGTTCCATTTGGTTTAGTTTTGGCATTTTTTTTTTTCAGGGCTCCTCAGTTCTGGCTTTCATTTTTATGTATTTTAATAATACTTAAGTTAAAAGCGATTTAATATTTTAAGCTCTGCAAATTATAACCTAATAAAATATTTTAAGTGTCACAAAGTCTTGTTTCCATTATTTATATAGAGCAATTTGACACTGAGAGTCAGAGGGGATTAATGACTGATAACGACTTAATGCATTAGGCAGTAAGAAGCTGGAATGTAACTTGTGCAGTAACTGTGTTGGCAAGAAAAGTCCTTTACTCAATTCTTCATTCACTTTAATGGGCCCGACTGATGTGGCTGATACTGCTTTTTAAAAGGGAAAGTTCGCTGTTTTCAAAATCTGTACATAATTAAATCATCAGGATGTAAACAAAGCCATTTAGAGTGGTTTGATGTGAAATGACTCATTCTAGACTATCTTACTGAGTTCTAACTGTTCACAGTAGTGGTGATGGGAAGCAGACATCCAAAGCATTTGGATGCTAAACTACATTGTTATATTTACGTTTTAGACCAGGGGTGTCAAACTCAACGAGAAAAAGGGCCATATTAAAAAAATCTCATCAAATCTGTGGGCCAGAGATTTTAATTAGTGTTGTGCTATAACCCGAACTGGCCATTGTTCATTCAAAATATGCAAAAACATAAAAAATAAAAAAAAAGAATATATTCAGAATTTAAATGTCCCCAGGAGCTCAGTCTTTTAAACCTACCTGTTTACCTGAACTAGACACCTGGCATCCCTTCTGTGCTGCATGTTCATTAATACTTAATTAATGAACTCAATTAGCTCAATTTCTGAGCTGCTGAGCTAATGTTAAGTGTTATATTGGTTGAACTGCAGCTGAACTGCATTTTGGTGATATGACTACTGTGGAATTGCGTAGAATTGAGATGTAACCACTGCCCCATATACTGTTGTTGGGGTAGGAGAGTCGGAGCACATTACGTTGCGGTGCATGCTGGGGACTGTAGTGTAGCACGTTGTGAAACGGGCTAATATAAATAGAAAATTAAAATGCTTTTGCGGGCTGGATAGGACTGTGTGGCGGGCCTGATCTGCCCCCCGGGTCTTGTGTTTGACTCATGGATTTTAGACACTAGTTCCTATAAATGTAGTTATGTTACAGCTGAATGTTGGGGGGAGAAACATGGCTGAAACCCCTCCTTCTTTCAATCTAATGCCCTATAAATCCACATCCACACTTTCCGTTCCTGTGATGAACTGTTCACAATCCCCACCGCCACCCCATCTCCTCCTCAGTTCCTCAGTCCTGCATCAGTCCTACTATAGCTATGAGGGGGGATCTGGCCTTCTAGCTACAGGTAGAAGATGCCCAGAGCTCCAGACCAAGTTTGCAAAGTCCCTCCCTCCTCCCTCAATCAATCTTCCCTCATACTGCCACCACATGTTAAAGGCATGGTCTGAACTCACAAACAGCCATTGTAATGAACCTGAATTAACCATTTGACATCAAAGCACTGTTTACATATTAATGATTCGATTATGCAGGTATGCTGTATTGTATACTCTAATAGTTTTAGTAAGTCAGTGTTTTGCTGACTGATATGATTCAGTTATCAGCTGTGAATTGTGAAATATGACTCAGTTACTAGTCATCATCTTTCTTTCACTCATAGCCTAAATAAAAACAAAATATTGCTGCACTGGGGGCGGGGCTTCCCAGAATTTCCTCTCATTTTTCATCAGTTCTCTTCATAGAAGAAAGGTTTATCAGAGTTCTTGTTATTCTCATTCTAATTTTTAAAATATTTTTTTGTTATTCAGATAATGATTTGGTTTGTGTTCATGTTCACCAGTTCAGAGTGTCTTGCTGTCATAGTTAAACAAATGGTGCCTCATACTGGGTTGTATTTAGTGGCTATAATGTAAGATTTTGCTCCATCTTTGAAAGGTTGCAGGTTTGAATCTCAGTGATGCCGCAACCAAAAAAGTCAGTAATTACCAGTGCATTGTTGATATGTTGCCGATACCAATAAAACTCGATATCAGTCAATATCGGCGAATATTATTGGTCAACTGATATCTACCACTTTCTGCGACACGTTTCTTTCACAATACTTTTGATGATGACCATCAAAAATCATTTAAAAGCTCAAAGTAGATACAGAATGTACAACTGTGCCAAATTTAAAGCTTTGTTTACAATTTATTAGTAGTTCTAAAACATCTATCAGTTATTGTATATTACATAAATATTCTGTGAACAAATCTGTACAAATAATACACAGACCATAGAAAACCCACCCACCCCCGTCCCTCTCCTTTCTGTCTTGCTCACTTGTCCGCTCGGACAAATGAGGAGAAGACGCTGTCTTTCTGCTCCAGCAGGACGTCGGGTCCAGCGTACTCCAGAATGGCTCCGTGCTTCATTACGATGACCACATCTGAAGCCAGGATTGTGTGCACACGGTGCTGCAAGAGAAGTTCAGCTTCAGTTAGCGAGTAATTTTACAGGAAGCATTATCATCTTTTTTAACCTGAAATTAGTAGCTTGTTACTAATATGTACATTATGTAGTCATGAAAGTGAGATGTTGAAATGTGGGCCAACATGAAGGCCCTTCAGGGCAGACTATATCTGAAGTGCTGTCTGTCCATGCTTTGATGACCATGTATCTAGTAGACGAACATAACAATACAGTACTGTGAAAAAGTGTTTACCCCCTCCCCTTCTTCTATTTTTGCATATTTGTTACACTAAATGGTTTCGGATCTTCATACAAAATATAAAAAGAAAAGGAGATCGTGAAAAAAAAACAAAAGTTCTTAAATGATCATCTCGTTTATTGAAGGGAAAAAATGCCCATGTGAAAAAGTAATTGCCTCAATAAACTGAATAACTCGTTTTGCCCCCTTCAGCAGCAATAACTACTCCCAAATGCTTCCTATGACTGGAGATCAGTCTTTCACATCACTGTGGAGGAATTCTGTCCCACTCCTCTTTGCAGAAATGCTTTATTTCAGCCGCACTGGAGGGCTTTCGAGCATGAACTGCCTGTTTAAGGTCTTGCCACAGCATGTCAGTGGCGTTCAAGTCAGGACTTTCGATTAGGGCACTCTAAAAATGTAGTTTTGTTTCTTTTGAGCTGGTCAGAGGTGAACTTGCACTTGTGCTTTGGATAGGTTGTTGCTGCACAGCCCAATTGCACTTGAGCTTCAGGTCATGGACTGATGACCGGACGTTATCCTGCAGGATTATTATTCCCACACCATCACACTACCTCCACCATGTTTGACTGTAGGTATAATGTTCTAATTGTGGACTGCTGTGTCTTTGGCATATGTAACAAGACCCCTGGCTTTCAAAAAGTTCCACTTTCGACTCATCAGTCTACAGAACATTGTTCTACAAGGCTTGGGGGTCATCAACTATTTTTTATTTATTTATTTATTTTTTTTTAGTTTTGTCAAATACGAAATATGTCAAATACTGTGGTTAGCAATGGTTTTCACATTTCAGCTCTTTTTTCTATCCGAGGCAAGCGAGGCCTGCAGTGCTGTAGAGCTTTATTGGTAGAATACTGGTAGGCCGGCCACTTCGGGAAGATTCACCACTGATCCAAGTTTTCTCCATTCGGAGATGCTGGTTCTCACTGAGGTTCGCTGGAGTTCCAGAGTCTTTGAAATGGCTTTGTAATCCTTTCCAGATTGATATTTCAATGTCTTCCAAAATGTTTTTGATCACAGCATAGTGCGCTGCATGTTGAGACCTTTTAACCTACTTCACATTGCTAGAAAAGTTCTATTTAAGTCATGTTTCAGTTCTACAGGGCTGGCAGTAATCAAGCCTGGGTGTGTCTAGTTAAACTGACCCCAGTTATCAGCTAAATTTGTTTACCTGGTTGATTAAGTAACTAAGGGGGAAATAACTTTCTCACACAGGGCCAGTTGGTGTTGGATAACCTTTTTTCCTTCAATAAATAAAATGATCCTCCAAAAACTGCATAATGTGTCTACTCTTTATCTTAAATTCAGTAAATTAAATATATGAAACAATTAAGTGTGACAAATATGCAAAAATAGCAGAAGATACTTTTTTATGGCACTGTAGGCCTCCGTGTGTTTGAGAGCAGAGCTTAAGTATTTGCGTGTAGCTGTTGTGCACTCAGACAAAACTATTAGAACAGAAATTTTAGAGCTTTTAGGCTCAGAGGAATAAAACGTGATGAGATTCTGACTCAGTAAACACGTTAATGCTCTGATCCTCTGACATCACCGTGATGGTTTGCGAGGGCGCATGAGGACGCAGCCGCATCAGTAATGCCTTCTCTTTATATTGCTATCACATTTAAAGCGGGGATTTGTCTGGTACTTACAGCTATGTTTACCACCGTCCGATCCGCAAAAGCAGTCATGACGACTTTCTGTAGAATACTCTCCTGTTCAGAGGAAGACAGGTGTGCAGAGTTAGGACCAGTTAACTAATTTCTCTGTTCTCTTTATATATACAATAAATTTTATAAACTGCCCAGAATGGGATTGATCACTGTTCTCACAGTGCCCATGTCGATAGAGGCAGTGGCTTCGTCCATGATGAGGATGCTGCTCTTCCTCACAAACGCTCGGGCCAGGCAGAACAGCTGCCGTTGCCCCTGGCTGAAGTTTTCTCCTCCCTCCGTCACCATGGCATCTGTGGAATAGACAGAAGATTGTTATTAAAATAAAAAGGCCAAAGAACTACAGATAAACAGAGCCAAAGCCACCCTGGAACCAACGAAGTATTGTTCATTTTGTTGCACCCCTTGCCTCAATAGACACACATCATGAGAGTCAGTCATGAAGTGGGCTGTCAGAGTTATGCCAGTACTCATTATACACTACTGAATGTTCATTTCATCATTATTTATTAGTTACTTTGTTTCTTTAAGTGGGGATTTTGCTGTGAGCGATGGATTGCATCTATTCTTTTAGTTTAAGTTCAGAAGCCTTGATGGGCAAGAAGGAAAAAAAAGGAAAATGAAGTGCGTTCTTGAATCTAAGTTCCAGTTTATTTATTTTTTCAGCCTGTTTCACATACCAAAAACAGCAGAAAAAAAAGATATTTCTAGTATCACTTTCAATAATTTCAGCCATCAAAAACCTCTAAAAAATTTCTTCATTTTTTCCACTACTGTATGAAATAAATGGCTGACACTTAGCATGTTATACTAGCTTTGGCCAACAGACCAGTTGTTTTTCCCCCTTAACCTTTGTGAACCAGGTGGAAAAAAAAAAAATACGGTGGAGCTAATTGGCTAATAATTAGCATGCCATATCAGCTACGATCACAAGGGTATCCGTACACAGTAATAGCCATCCTGAGGTTTGTGAGCCATTACAGTCTGCTACACACGGTAAAGAAATTTAAGCTAACCAAATGGACTGGAGTAGCATGTAGCTAACATACATGATCGCCTACTTTCAGACTTAAAGTCATTGAATCAAAATGGGCCTTTTTACCTTGTTAGTTCATGTCAGCTCATTTACACTGAAAACCATGTTCATGTTAACTCAAGTGAGGTAGTTCAAATATGAGGCAGTATTTGGGCTGTTTTCTAAAGTTTTCTGCTGCACTGCGAGGCTGAGGGACTGCGAGGCTTTGAGGGGGGTCAGCTGATGATGGAGTGACATGCACACACTCACACACACACATACACACACTCTTGCTCAAACACTAAGTAATCACACTCGTACACAGATTTAACTGACTGAACCTCACTTCTTTTTTCCTGAAGTCTTTTTCTTTTGCTGTTACAGTAAAAGTGTAGGAACAGCAAAAGAGATGCTAACAGGCTAGCCAGCTAACCGGCATTCAGCCTCATCGACATCTTATAAAGTTAAAAAAAAACAAAAAAAAAACACGTAAAATCAAGTTTTCAAAAATTTGTGAGTCATGTTTCAGAAACAACAAGAAATACATATCAAAAATATTGTTGCTCATTTTTTAACAAAATATGGTTGTTTTAAATTATTTTCATTTGGCTTTTATGCAAAACACATGGATTCTGCTGACTGTCTGAGACTGACCCTGTTCGTTCTGGAATGCCCACTTTTCATGCACCAATCAAATTCTGAAGAATAAAATCATGTCCAGTCTACAATGATTTCCCACAGTGGCCTGTTTCACTTTCAAAATGCCACACTAAGGAAGAAAAATGCATTCTGATTTCTGATTCACACTGACTTTAATAAGCTAATAATTTCTTCCAAAGTGTTTGTCGACATTTATAAAAAAAAGAACCACTGAACAACTTAACTGCCTCTGAATTGGCAGTCTGTTAAATTAATCTGACCCCTTGTGGTTGAAGCTGGCATGGCATGACAGTTGTTTGACAGTTAGCTCCCCAGTATTTTTATTCATTTATTTATTTATTTTTTACCAGGTTAATGAAGGGTCAAAGAGCCTGTTTACACCTTGCATTAACATGTGTTTCATGTCCAAATTGCATCTGGATAAACTCTGGCCAGATTCTGTTGACACTTTTCACTAAAATGTGTCTCCAGTGTGACCGGATGAGATGTGATTGTACTTTTCCAATTTTCAACTTTAGAATAGAAATGACTTTAGAATACTGACACCGATGGTCATTTTTTCTTACCAAGTCCCCCAGGTAAGGCTTTGACCACAGGCATCAGCTGAGCAATCTCCAGAGCTTCCCACAGTATCCTGTCTGTGGCCTTTCTCTCCGGATCCAAATTAAAGCTGAAAGGGAATAAAGGAAAGGTGTCTTCATTGGTTTATCTGTAGAAATGTTGAAACAAATCTGGGATATGGTGTCTTCACGATAAAAGGTTTACCGAATTGTTCCGCTGAATAAAAAGGGGTCTTGTGGAATGATGGAAAATCTGGAACGCAGGGTCTGGAGGGGCAGCTTTGCAAGATCAATGCCATCCACAATAATTCGACCTGAGAGGAGAAAACAAAGTGACAGTGAACCACTAAATTTACAGACTGACCATGATATATGATGCACAGAATGATAAGGACCCATTTACCTTCAAATGTGTCCACCATTCGGAAAAGGGCCAGGGAGAAGGATGACTTTCCGCTTCCTGTTCTTCCACATATTCCCACCTGCAGAAATACAGCACATTACTGATGATGGTAATGTCTCTCTTTGTGGAATAAAGCAAGGAATGCAGTGAATGAGTGTGTTTAAAGGCTGCTTTGCCTTTTGTCCAGGTTTGATGTGGGCGTTGACGCGCTTTAGAACAGGCTTTAGGCTGCTGTCGTAACGCACACTCAGGTTTTCAATCTGGATCTCGCCGTATTTGGGCCATCCTGACGGAACCTGAGCCGGAGCTACAAACAGAGCATCAGAACACGACAGAGCTCAGAAAAGCAGAATGAGTATCCAGCTAATGAGTGGGTCAGTATATTTATTACACTGCTTTATTTAACAGGGACAATACTCACTAATCAGCTTCTATTCTATGATAGAAATGTGCCAGAGTTAGCCAAATGGTTAATTTTCATCTGCTGACCCTGGGCGGGTTGATGGTTTAAAATATGAACTATTCTTAAAATAGTCAAAACAGCAACAAGTAAGTTTATGAATTATAATTTTTTAATGTATTGTTCCTTTTTTCATATTAACATCTTTTCTAAATCCGGTTAATATGCACAAATTATATAAAAAAGAATAAGTGCACTATGTAGTGTATCTTTTACACAATATATAGCATTCTACCGAATTAATTCACACTGCAGTCCCCCCCGACCCCCAAACAAAAAAAAAAAAAATAAATAAATAAATAAGACCTTCAGACCTTAGATATTTATCAAGATTTGGTTATGATATATTTAAGCTGAAGGCATTAGTAATAAGCCAATTATATTCAAAATCATCATTTATAGGACACTTTCTATTGGGAGATGGCTGCCGCATAAATTTCAGCTCCTACATTTCAGCTTCTGAAAAGGTTTGTTTCTGAAGATCTTTTTGATTTGTTTTAAACTACATTTGAAATATTTAGATTCGTTATGAGTTTAATTTTTAAACAAAAAATAAATAAATAAAAAGAGTTTTAATCCGTAGGCAGTGCCTTATTTTAGCCATTTTTAAAGCAAGTGAGCATGTCAGTTTTCAATAAACCTGATGTTAGTTGACCACATGTTAGTTGTACATGTGTTCTATGTGTTATTCTGTTTCTGGTTCTGGGTTGGTCAGGTGGGTTATGAACTGTGATTGTATGGCTAGAGGTAATCTGCCTGTTTCCTGGCTGCTTGGTTGGTGCTGTGCGGTGGCTATGCTGGCTGCCTGTTCAATAAAAGAGCATTCGTCTTTAAAGTGCAATGTTTCCTACATCTTATTCTTTGCTGACACTACAATATTAAATTACATCTGGTTTATTTTGAGGAAAACAATATCACACATTGGAATATCTTGGGAATAACGCTACAGCCCACCCATTTTTGTTCTTGTAATGTCATCAGCACTTTTGGGACAAAAGAGTTTCAATATGAGCTTTTAATGACAGTTTGGGGGAAAAAAAACAGTCAAATTATTATTCAGGCAAAACCTGCTCTTCATACCAAAGAGGACGCCTTGATGAAAATGAAGCTGAGTGCTGAAGATTATTACTTAGTCATTTTTATGTTGACAAAACCTTTTTAGGTATTTTGTCTTACTAGTTGCTGTTAAGTTACTGTGAAAATCCAAAATTAGAAAATCTAAAAACAGAATATTAGATGATTGTTTGGTGGCAAAGTTTTTGACAGACAGTGTTTGATTTCAGTTCCTTATTGACTCACTCAGTTCTCCATTGTAGCTCTCGGGCTGGGTGTGCAGCAGGCTGCTGATTCTCTTCACGCACCCCAGCTGCACCTCCATATCCGCCAGGTTACGCACCATCCAGTTCAGATAGTTGGACACCTGCACAAACACCAGATGTGGGAGACACTCATCTGTAACCTTTAAATATAGACGGATCAGGCATTTTATAATCCACGAGAGAAGGTTTGATGTGAATACACTGGAGCAATCTGCGTAATGTGTGTACGTGTGCCCGGCAGGAGGGCTTACCATGAGAGCATATGTGAGGCCCAGGCCCACTAATCCAGCTGAGAGCTCGCTGTATAGAGCGCTGGTAATGGAAGCCACAGCTGCTATCAGCACCACAAAAGCCCCGATATACTCCTGCAGATCCAGCATTTAATCTGTTAATACTGTAGTATCAAACAAACAAAGTGATATTTTTGGTTCTATTAAGGTAAAAATGGTGAACTTTTGATAACCCCACAAATGTGCCTCCTAGTGGACATTTGGGTGAATTTCAAGTTATAATTCTCCTATTTAAAGGGGAACGTGACAGACTTTTCAAAATGTTTTCATATTTTAATCACTAAAGTGTAAACAAAGTCATTTAATCAGGAATGGGCCATTGTAGAGAAACTTTCCCAGTTGGATTTGTTTACAGTGGTGGTGATAGGAACCAGGGGTCATGATGTCTACAATGCAGATTTAATTTTATTTACCAAAGCAATCAGTGAACCTACACTTTTTCTGAATTTTTATGTATTGCTGATTTTATATATATATATATATATATATATATATATATACATAGAGAGAGAGAGAGAGAGAGAGAGAGAGAGAGAGAGCGCAACAGCAATTTTCAAATGATAAAAAAAATGGAAAATGACCAAAATGTCATTAGTCTCTATGGACATCTAGGTCCTATCACCACCACTGTGAAAAATTCACTAAGTTTGTCTAGAACAGGGCATTTCACATAAAATCACATTTATATGTCATGACTTTATTTACATCTTAACCGTTTTGAATTCTGAAATTTTCAAAAATCGGTGGAATTATCCTTTAAAGGCTCACTTGAATTTTAAAATTGTAAAAAGTTTAAAAGCATAACATTTTTGCAGCAATTGTAAAATTGTGGAGTAAAGTGAGGCACAATACATACAAGAATTGCTTCGTATACAGGAAGAACAAACAGTGATACTAAACTACATTCTTGCCTAAACGTATCGTCTCTAAAACTGTGGCATTAGGCTGTAATAGATTAGTGTGTTTTTACCATACGAACTTCGAGCCAGCGATTGGCTGCCGTGAGAAAAAGGGAGGCGATGTTGTTAGCATCTGTGTACTCCAACAGTTTCTTCTTAAATCTTTGTTCATGCCTACAGCACAAATATGGAACAAGTTACTTTTAACCATGTCAAATTACTGCAGACAGTAAATAGAAGTCCTTAGCATCATTCTGTATTTTCTCTATTATTCTTTTCAACCTTTCAGTCTATCAGCGCTGTACCTGAAGGCTCTGATGGTGGTGAGGCCCTCTATAGTCTGAGAGTAGTGTGACAGGAGGGGGATCTGGGTGCTGTCCTCTAACTGCTGCAGATCCCTATAAACACACACACACACACAAAACATGCAGAACCGTATATTATTAATATGTATTGAATACAAATATTGATTGTGTAACTACTCTAACATGACATTAATTAAATCAATTATTAAAATCATTTAAAGTAGGAGGGGATGGGGTTTGGCATGCAGAGAAAACAATGTTGATATGTCATGCATTACTGGCATCTCAAATCCCATTAAAGTAGTTCTATTAAACTTTGCCTGGAGTGTTGATTTGGCTGGCGGAGGACTCACCTGGATGCCACGCGGAAGTATTTTTGAATGAAGTAGTAGGCGATGGCCAAAGGGAGCAGAGCGATGAGGAAGACCGGTGTGACGAAGGAAATCACCCCCACCGCAGACACACACAGCAGAGTGGAGCGGCTCAAACACTCCATTGTGACTGGGATGTGCTAAAATTACAAGCGTTCAGTTCAATTTAATTCAGTTTTGCTGCGTTCACTGTGCACACTGGCACAAAGCCATGCCAATACAAGAGCTCCACTTACCAAGCCTAAGACAACAAAAACTTAGTTAACTGCAATGTGTGTCTTTGCTGGATGCTTCAGATTGTTTTGAAAGAACACTTCAAAATACAGAACCCAGTGTTTAAAAGTTTGGAATCAGTGTTTTTAATAATGTAAAAAAAAGGATTTGGCTGCATACAAGTGTATGAAGTGATTCTAATATGTTAGTCTTGTACAACTTCACAGGTTTCAAATAATGAGTAGGACACCAGGAAGCTTTAAAAATACTGAGAAAGCTGTAAAACATCAATAATTAGGTTTTAACTAGAACCGGAAAGTTTTTGAACAAAATTTAAGTTGGCTTGACAAAGTCATTGCTATGGAATCCCAGGCGGTTGCTAAGGTGTTGCCAGGCCATTGCTATGGAATCCCAGGTGGTTGCTAATGTGTTGCTAGACCATTGCTATGGAATCCCAGGTGGTTGCTAAGGTGTTGCCAGGTCATTGCTATGGAATTCCTGGTGATTGCTAACGTGCTGCCAGCCCTTTGCTATGGTCTCCTATAGTTGTTAGGCCTTTACTGTGAAATCCCAGGCGGCTGCTAAGGTATTGCTGTCCCATTGCTATGGTATCTCAGTTGGTTGCTAAGGTGTTGCTAGGCTGTTACTATAGTATCTAGAATGTCACTATGATGTTGCAGGGCCATTTCTATGCACATCTATACAGGCTCTACGATCCTGCAAGGGTTTGTGGTTCTAGTTCGAAAACTGCAACTCGTAAAAAACTTTGTCAAGCCAACTCAATAAAACTGATATTCCAAATCCGTTATATTTCAAAAGTGGAGGTCAAATCTCAAGGCAGATAAAAAATAATGTCAATTCTAAAAAAATATAGATAAATAAAAACACAATGTTAATCAATAATTATAGTATTTACATTTCTTCCTGCTCACCATATACTTAAAATATTATATATAACAGCCAAAACTATCTTTTGCCACATAGTCTATGATATTTAAATCCACACTGTTACACAAACTTGTTAACATGCTAAGTGATTCCAAACTTACAAGCTAGTGTAAATACTAAACACAATGCTGCACAGGATCTGTTTGGTATAAGTGAAAACAAAGAAAAACAGTCCAAACAAGTTATGTCAGATCTTAAGGACATTCTTTTAGTATACAGTAGCAGCACTCAGGAATCATGGGTTCATTAACGTTATCAATGCAAACTGAAATATCATCACCACTCAGCACTAGCTGCATGAACTGTTTTAGTAGAGCCCTTTACTCAAGTGTTTAGAACACAAAAGTCAACTTTTTAATCAGTCTTCATCTTTATCACCTGATCGATGGTGTTGATGTCACCAGAGAATCGGTTGAGAATGTTCCCGAGAGGGGTTATCTCAAAGAGCCTGTAGAATAACACAAATATCATTATGTATTTCATTTCTAAGCCATTATGTGTTGTGAATGTGCTGTGGTCATAATGCTGTTGCGTTTCAGTCTTTTTCCCCAACACAAACCTCATAGGCGCAAGGACGATGGTGCGGAGGAGACTGCAGTGAAGCTCCCTAGCCACTCGCAGACCAGTCCATTCTACTGCCAGAGAGGTGACCAGACACAACACTATACCCAAACAACACAGCATGGAGAACACCTGCAGGTACGGAGCATGACTGAACACACAGTCCTGACAGAGAGAGAGAGAGAGAGAGAGAGAGAGAGAGAGAGAGGGAAAGAGATGTGGGGAGGTTAAAATACCACCTATATACACATTTAACATGAAAGCAGTATGATTCACAATTTTTTTTTTTTTTTTCCACAAATTTACACAGTTTTCCTCTTTTACCCAAAATGGTGTCGATCAACCAAGACATATTAGGTTTCTCAAGTTTACATCTTTAGTCCTGCACTGGAGCTATTAAGCTATTGTAGTTAACCTATAATGGAAGCTTGTACTGCACCAATTAGTGCTGTGTAAACTTCATGCCTACATCATCACACATTTGCCTTAATCTGTGTCAAATTGTTAAATAATCGTGAATAAACTTGCTTATGTGGTTTCTGACATACTGTTATCAATGATGCTTTAGTGAAGGCCCATGTAATGGCTACACGTCAGCAATAAAAGCCCTTCCCAACAACTTGCATTTGCCAACTTTGATGTCAAATTGATATAATATCAATGTCAGGTGACACTGCTTTTTAGACATTCTGTTACGTTAAGCTTTGTGGAATGAAATGACAAAGACTTTGTGGAGACATAATGCTGATAATATGGCATAATATGACAGAGCTTCCCAGGTCAGGCTGGTTGAACAAAAGTGAGCGTTTTCTGAGACTCATAAGTAAAGTAAGATTAATTTTACCATTTATCAGATTTGAGCTGTTCTACATCAGCAGCATTATGTGACTGTAATGTAAACTAATCTACAAAGTCAGGTGTTATACTGTGCTGCCTTATCACATTTAAAAATGTCATGACAACCCAGTGTCAGCTGACGTAAGTATTTATATCAACTTGACATCAGAGTTGGCAAAAGCAGCCGTACCCACAGATGACATCTACTGAAATAAGCCTAAATGTTTATGTTCATTCCCCAGTCCATACAGGCCATACATGGAAACTTAACTGCAAAAGTAGTTTTGAATTCATTGTTTTTGTGAGGTCAGGAAACTCGTTTATGTTCAGTACTGTGCAACAGTTTTAAGCACCTGAGAAAATTTTAAAAAGCTCTTTATCTGAGCGGTATGTAATTATTTGCTCAAAATACCAATATTAGAATAAATACAAATAACATAAATACAATAAGTAGTAACTTTATGTCTGTGAATGTGTTTATTTAAGGATTCCCAAACTTCTCCTCATGGAAGCCCAGTATGATTTGTAGTTCTCACACAATATCTAGTTTGGCCAATCAGTGCTTCACTATGTTAAAATCATGTGTGCTTTTGATGAATTTGAACAAATCTATATGATGGCAGGAGGAGCCCAGGAGAAATCTGGAATCAAACTATGTTTTTCAAGTTAGCTCACAAGATATCAACAACTTTCTTGTTGCTTTTTTCCTGTTTTATGTTTATATGCATTCGAATGAATTTACATATATTCTAATGCCATCTCAAGCTTTTTACAAGCAAGAACACATTTATTGCCAAGACACGTTTTGAAACAATATACCTCATTCACCAACATCTTCATAAGTTTTTTCTTAAATTTGTTCCTAAGAAAAAGTCTACATCAGATTCATGATGTGTTCTTAAAGCGTAGAATTGCACCTTTGTGCTCTTGCGTGTGTGTATATTCTGATCTTACCCAAGAACAAATCCCAAATAAGAAAACACTGGTGAACATCAGAACCTTCATGAAAACTGTGAAAGTGGGTTTTAAGAAGAAATTTCTTCTTAAGAACGGTTGGTGAATATCTGCCTGTTCTGCTTATAGCATTTTAGCCTCGCCCATTCACACTGAAGTTACAAGTGTTTCAGCCTGGACTGCTTTTTGAACAAGTCACAATAAAGAGCACCCAATTAGAACAGGGCTCATTTTCACGTCTAATAGTCTAAAGGCACTGAAAAACAGCCTGTTTAATTCTAAGGGATAAAACAAGGTTGGAAAATCGTCATGTAAAAATGAATTACAACTGATTTTGGTGCATAAATTTAATCAGAAACACAAATGTTCTAAGTAAACTTCAGGGAAAAGTACAAAATACAAAAAAAGGTATATGGACCATTTAAACACTAAAGAAACTCCACATAAATGCAAATGCATAGCATATTTGTAAACTGTTATAGTTTATTTGTATTCAGTACCATATAATGTTAGAAAATATTACTTTAAAGTCAGGGCCATTTTAGATTTAAACAAATATGCCTGGTGAAAAAGTCTTATATTGCACTAGAGTATAATACTATATATGGGATTAACCGGCTATGCTTAATAATTAGAATGGGCTTTCCTTCACCTGTGTAGCTGTGCAGTTGTTATCAAAGCTGTCTATTCGAGCAGCGATGGCCTGAGAGGTCCAGTGAGCGAGCCAGTAGTCTATAGCCAGCATGAGCGAGTGTTTGGTGAGCTGGGAGAGGATGAGCAGGGGCAGCAGGAGGAGGCCGGCCTCCCGCAGGTATGTCCCGAACGAGCTCCACGGGATAGTGGCCCTTTGGTTTAGCTCCGCTGTCAGGCTGTCCTCATCTGTGGTCATGGAGCCATCTGTGGGTCACGCAATGCAAAGCAAAACTTTATTCTATGTGAGGTGCAGTTTGGTGTAGCTCCAGAACAGGTGACAGAATCTGAAAAAGGCTGGAAAGAACCTCAAAGGCTTTATTCATGATAAACCATGATTGTGCCACTATTGACCATATTGAACCACTGAAAAACAGCCTTTACTGACAGTGCAATAGAGCATTGCTGTTCACTGTGGATTATTGGCCATGCAGCTGGGTTAGAGAGAAAGAGTGCACTGAAAAGGAAAGGTTAGAGAGGAAAGGTGCACTGTCCAGAAACTAGCTAAATGATCTAGTTTACAGCATGCTAGGTAAGAACATTTATCTCATGAAGAAACATATTATTTGCCACATTCAACATATTTGTCAATTCTTGGGAGATCTTTTTCTGCAAGGTGTTGGGTTTTTCAAGGCATGCACAGTAAATTATACAAACTATATTATGTGGCTGTTGTTTTAAAGGGTGCATGTCATAGAAAACTCATTTGTCTTTGCTTTTTATGCAATAAAATAGTATGTAAACATTGTTAAACTTTGCCTGCGTCTGTATGGTCAATATAAAGAGATAAAGCTGCAAAAGCAGCCTTTTTTTAAGATCACTGGGTTTGTGATGTCATGAAAAACTTTACGTTTTACATATGCCCACCTGTTCAGCCTACAGTACTTTAGCTCCACCCACCGACACTGAAGTGTTTCAGACTGGACTGCTTCTAAATTGTACATGCTTTGCATTATGCATTACACACCAACCGGCAACTTCATTAAACACACCTCCTTATTTCTACACTCATTGTCCATTTTATCAGCTCCACTTACCATATAGGATCACTTTGTAGTTCTACAACTATAGACTGCAGTTTGTATGTTTCTCTGTATACTTTGTTAGCCCCCTTTTACCTTGTTCTTCAATGGTCAGGACCCTCACAGGACCACCACAGAGCAGGTATTATTTGGATAGTGGATCATTCCCAGCACTGCAGTGATACTGATGTGGTGGCGGTGTGTTAGTGTGTCGTGCTGGTATGAGTGGATCAGACACAGCAGTGCTGCTGGAGTTTTTAAAATACCACTCAAATAATACCTGCTCTGTGGTGGTCTTGTGGGGGTCCTGACCATTGAAGAACAGAATAAAAGGAGCTAACAAAGTATGCAGAGAAACAGATGGACTACAGTCTGTAATTGTAGAACTACAAAGTGCACCTATATAGTAAGTGGAGCTGATTAAATAGACAATGAGTGTAGAAACAAGGAGTTGCGCTTAATGAAGTGGCTGGTCAGTGTATCAGCATTAAAGGCAAAGTAACAAAAGCAGCCTGGTTATAGAGAGGTTGGAAAATGGCCCAACTACAATGGTGTAATGTGTGGTTTTTGGTACATAAAAACACACAAACAGGTGGAAATAACCTGAAAAATGCAGGATATGGGATTTAAGGATTCAGAGCATTTCCATGTAATTCATTATAGAGATAAATGTTTCAGATTAGTTATTGTTTAAAAATAAAATTGTTTCACATGCATTATAACACATCAAATAAGCCATGCGGTAGGTAAGCACAGAGTGCACCCAAAACAGATTCAGTGACCGTCATCATGGTCATCTAAGAATCTGAACTGAGAAAAATGTCTTTTTTCAGAATGTTTAATATCCCCAGCCTGTGTGGCATTAATTCTGTTAGAGATGATGCAGAAAGGCATGCTATTCAATCCAGACCTTTAGCCTGCCTGACAGTAATGTGAGAGGCTGGTGATATCCCACAAGTCCACACAGGGGAAGCCAACATAGATGAAGAAAACAACAACAGATAGAGAGCACAGTGCAGCTGTGAGGACACACATGGGTCAAAAGTGATGCAGAAAGTAGAATTCAAATCCAACTTCACTGTTATTCACCCATTGTGTGGCATCAGAGGTGGGTAGTAAATAGTTACATTTACTCAGTTACATAGAGTCATGTAATAAATTACATTTTAGTTATTAACACTTAGTTACTAACTAAACCACTAAGCTACACCACTGACAGCATCTGTACTGCTTTGATATCAGTCACAATTCTGACTAAAGCGCTTTATTATGGTACCACTTTGCAATCAGACTATTCTTGTAAATGGTTTATAATTAGTTTATTAATGGTTATTAATTAGATCATAAGGACCTTAAAATCATCAATAAGCAGTTACAACACATAGATAAGCCTGTTATATCTGATCAATACAGGATGCAAATTTGGTGTAATAAGCGGTGGGGGGGCAACATCAGGAGGCTAAAATTAAACTGTGTAAGCACAAATTTGCTAATTTTCAACATAACTTCATCGCATCACTTTTTTTCAGTGTAGAAATGAAGTAGAGGCAGAAATGTGTGCGAGTCTTCAGCGAGTTGCTGTTGTGTGGCTGATGTTTACCTTCATCCTCGTCCTCCGTGGCGAGGGTGTCTGTGGAGTACATGGGCTTCCTGAAACTCTTCCTCTTCAGCTCGACATTGTTCTCCTGAAGGAAGGTTAAAATAAACAGCCTACAGTAAACCTTCCTCGGTAAACCAGACTACTTGTTTACTAGGAAAGACATAAACCTTCCAGCACAGAGATTTAAGGGGAATTACACTGATTTTTCACAATTTCTTGGATGTAAACAGACCCTGGAGTGGTCAGAAATGTTCAGAGTGGTGGTGACAGGAACCAAGCGCCTAACAAGATTATCTCTAAAGCTCCCTCACTAAGTTATTACATGAATTGGTCATGAATTATGTCTGAGATATTGTTTTTATGATAGTTTTGAGATTTTTTTAAAAATCCACTCTTAGCAGAGATGTACATGCAAAATAGTCGCCAAATGTTTTCTTTACCATTACTTTACCAATATTAACATTACATATAAAAACTCAAAAGATCTGTGTAGGTCCTTTTGCGGTTTTAAATAGTAATTAAATAAAACTGTAGACATTGTGGCCCCTGGTTCCTATAAGTAAGTTTCTCCACAATGAACCATTTCATATCAAACCACTCTGAATGAGTTCATTTATGTTTAAATGCCTGAACTGTAGAGAAAATTTTGAAAAAATTGGTGGAATTCTTCTTTAACTCAAAAGCCTTGCTAAACTAATTAAACAGAAGAAGTCATTGCATCATTAGGACTCTCATGGCTGTGTCCAATTAGACAAATCATAGTCGACTGCAGAGGCCAGTCGCAATCATTGAGTTAATTCAGATGGAAGTTTCATTAAGACTTAAGACATTAAGACTTGTTTACTGGTTTGGCTGCTCTCAGTGCTCCTGTCTCCCATTACTTCCTCTTCAACATGAGCAAGAACATAATGAATTATTCCTCATAGCTCATTGACACAAATCAGGAAATTATGTTAAAAGTTTGCATTCTGAACTTTCAGTCCATAACACATTTTTGGTAAGTTGCAGAGGAAATATTAGGACATGAATTTGATTAAAGGCTATTGCTGTGTGTATAGCCTTTTGCCACATTTTACCATGTTTATTGAAATAGATTAAATAAGCGTCAGACCTAAAGATGTGAACCTTTTCAAAACAGAATGTATGTAAAACTTCATGTGTGTGTAACTAATTACGTACATATGTAATAAAATGATCATATAAATTTGCTATAACATTTATAACATGTAATAGTATAGCATTATGCAACACTGTATCTACACCAATATATATCTGCATCTATATATTGACGCTGTCAAAAAAAAACAACAACTTTTTGATGTTTTATTTTTTGATGATGTGTGGACCAATAGAATAAAATCTTTCTACATTAATTTACATTAAAACTAAAGAATTGTTTGCCCTCTCCCATAAATCTGCAACCTGTTTTCCTTTGGACAGCAATGATGTATGAATTATTTACAAGTGAGAAATAATTAATGTAAAAAGTATTTCATTCTTAACTCTTAGGGTTAAGTATGAAATATCAATGATGGCCAAATCTTAAAACCAACGTTGGTTTAGCGTATTCAGACATTAAGAAATAGGGTAGCATGTGTTTCTTTGGATTAGGACAGCCTGTCCAGTGTTTTAAATCAGCAGTTTGGTCTGTCAGTGCCTCTCAACCTTATTTTGTCTGTTCATCAGGGTCCTCCAGTGTTCATACAGCTCAGGCTCAGCGCACTGAATGTCCTTTAAGGTCCCTTGAGTCTGGACTGTCCCATCCTTCATGGCTATGATCTGAAGGATTATAAATAGAACATATAAGTACTGTAGGCTACTGTACTATAATGTCATGTCATGCCATTTTACATCATGCAAAAGCTGTATGCTGTGCAATCTTATGCTCTGCTTCACTGTTCTTGGGTTCTGGTTCAGTTACACTATGCTGTGCTGTGCTTTGACATGCAAATAGGAGTTGGGTTCTCACCCAGTCTGCATGTGGTAAATACTGCAGTTTGTGGGTCACCAGCACCACTGTCCTCTTCTCTTGTCTGAGCAGCTTCAGGATGCCCTCTTGCATCAGGTGGTCACTCAGGTGGATGTCCAGGGCTGAGAACGGGTCATCCTGAGAGAAGTGATGGAGACATCTGTTACTACATGTCGATACTGCTAAACCTTATCGTTTAAATGTTTAATGTTTATGCAAAGTGGTTATATCTTCCTTTTAATCCACTCTCCACCTTTAACAAGATTTTCTCAATGCTGTCATTGCATTTGTTTTGATATGAACAGAACCTAATCTGACAAAGCTAAAGAATAAAGAATGTAAGTAACCAAATAAAGGCAACGGAATATACTTTTTCATATACTATTTCAGTGGCCGTTATCATTACTCTGACAATAAGCACTTTGAATTTTGTTCTGAATATATACGCATGGCTGCTGATAGAAAAGCCCACAGAGAGTTCCAATTCCACATGCTTATAATTACTGTTCAGCAGTGCTAAGTAAATGTAATTCATTACTGTACTTAAGTAGTTTTTTCATGTATCTGTAATTTACTGAAGTATTTCCATTTTGGGCGACTTTTTACTTTCACTCCACTACATTTCAAAGTCAAATATCTGTCGTTCCTTTTGGTTTATGTGTGCATAAAAATGTAACATGTAAAAAAGAAAGAAGCGTGAAGGAAGAACACCAATCAGGGCACAGCGCAGACTTTGTTTTGAGCTTGTTTTGACCTGTTGGACATACCGACCCAGTGCAAGCATACGGTTCAACGTCAGTGCAGCAGTGTAAAATTTTGGGAGTGTCTATTCCAACATAAATGATGGAGCTAAGCTAACTTTATTAATCTTTTAGTACTTTTACTTTCAATACTTAAGTACATTTGAAGGCAAATACTTTTGTACTTTTACTCAAGTGGAGGTCTAAAGGGAGGAACTTCTACTTTTACTGGAGTAATACTTTACCTTGGGTATCTCTACTTTAACTCAAGTACATGATTTGTGTACTTCATCCACCACTGCTGTTCTGTGACTACTATGAATTATTCATAAGCCATAACGGGCCTATTATATACAGTCATAGGCAAAGGTTGGTCAAATGACATGGTTTGTTGATTTTCTAAGTGTAAATTAGTTAACACATTTACAGAGAACACACTTATTGCACAGTAACTGTTTATTTGCTGAATTTTATCATACTGGACACAATAAAACATAAAATGTAGCCTGTGCAAAAGTAATGGTGCATTTTAGATTTTATGTTTTGTTTTTTCAATATGTTAAACTAAGCCAATAAAAAGAAATTGTGTACTAAGGTGCCATATTTAAGTGTGTTCTCTGCAGAGGATGTGCTATTGACAAATTTGCATATGACTGTAACTATATATGTATAGTACAGTGCAAAAATCAGTCCGTTTTTCATATTTATAGTTTCTAGTCTAAATAGCCAGTATGCACCTTTTTTTCAGAAAAATGTAGAAAACATATATTTAACAGAAAAAGTCTTCGAAGTTGGTTGTTTTTTCTGCTTCTCATGACCCAAATAATTGTAATTACAAATTTAGGCTCATCAGTTCATAAAACTTCACCCCACATCTCAGTTTCTGTGTTCTAGCGCAAAATTTCTTTCTTGATAGCTACACATCCTTTCAGACCCATAGCCTTTGTTGTCTTCTCACAGCGGAAAGATGGACAGAAACACCTGTGGATTTTTTAGATTTGATGCAACAGTGGAGCTTGATTTTCTCAAAGATGAAAGCTTTAAGTACTGTTTATCTGATGGTGATCCTTTGCCTTTCCCTTTCTTATGCAAGTGGATTGTCTTATATCTGATCTGCTGAGAAATATCTCCAAAAAACGAATTACTGGAAATTGGACTGGAAATGAAATAAATGAACGGCAGTCTCTGACTTTTGCATAGTGCTGTATGAGAGTAAGGAACTGAAATGTGAGCCCCAGCACAGGCTTTTGTAGTTAAGGGTTAATGCAATAACTCTAACTGACCAAATAGATTTTGATGGAGCTTAGAGGCCTTCTATACTGGACAAAAGACTGTAGGTCAGAACACTGGCCAAGCAGCCTGTCAGCGAACTGCATACAGCTCTGTAAGTGTAGCCTGAGGAGCAGCATGTGATTCTGAAAGGCACTGGTCTGCTGGACTCACCAGGAACACTACACTGGTTTCCTGATAAAGTGCCCTGGCGACACTGATGCGCTGCCGCTGACCTCCAGACAGAATGATTCCCTGTAAGAAAGAGACAGAAGAGTGAGTATATACACACAGAGAGAAATGCACACACTCATGTCTTATTGAGCTTGTATAAACCTGGTCTACCCTCTCTCCAACCACAGTCTGGTCTCCATGAGGAAGGGTGTCAATGTCAGGCTGCAGCTGGCAGGCTTCGATCACTTCCTTATACCTGAAAGACACAGTAGATGAAAAGCACATCATTGTTCATCATGTAAAACTTATTCTTTCCCGTCTGCCCTTTACACACATAACAAACTGGCCACTTCTTTAAGTACACATCCTTGGACTTAGAATGGTCCACCAACCAAAAATATCCAGCTGCCCTTGTGGACAGCATCCTGTGACCCCTGATGAAGGACTAGAGGATGACTAACACAAAATGTGCAGAAACAGTTAAGCTACTGTCTGTGACTTTACATCTACAAGGTGGACCAACAAGGTGTGTCTAATAGAGTGGACAATGGGTGGACACAGTGTTTAAAAACTCTAGCAGCACTGCTGTGTCTGATCCACACATACCAGCAAAGCACACACTAACACTCCATCGTGCCACCACCACATCAGTGTCACTGCAGCGCTGAGAATGATCTATCACTCAAGCTATACCTGCTCTGTGGCGGTCCTGACCATTGAAGAACAGGGTGAAAGGGGGCTAACAAAGATGGACTACAGTCTGCAATTGTAGAACTACAAAGTGGTTTCCTCCCACAGTCCAAAAACTTGCAGTCAGGCTGACTGGACATGCTGAATTGCCCCTAGGTGTGAGTGTGTGTGTGACTGTGTATGTCTGTCTGTCTGCCCTGCGATGGACTGGCGACCTGTCCAGGGTGTATCCTGCCTTCCACCCAATGACAGCTGGGATAGGCTCCAGCACCCCACCGTGACCCAGAAGGATAAATGGTTTAGATGATGTATGCATGTATATATGTTTTATAATTTTTTTTTTTCCAAAATATTAAACTCAGCAAAAAAGTAGAAGTTGTACACTAAAATTTGCAGTAAAATTACTTATTTAAGTGTGCTCTCTTGTTGTGTTAACTTATTTTCAAAATCAGCAAAACATGTAATTTGACCAGGAGTATTCACACTTTTGCATATATATATATATATATATATATATATATATATATATATAGAGAGAGAGAGAGAGAGAGAGAGAGAGAGAAAATTAAAAATAGCTCATATATCTTGTTAGATTTTAAAGAAATTCAAGTGTATGTATCGAAATTGGTATCAGGCGATATTCAAGGTTTCAGTATCGCTATGAGAAAAAAAAAGTATCATGCCACCTAAATCAGTGAAATATACCATCTAAAGTTATCATCTCAACTTCTCCAAAGACATCGAAAAGCTTCTCTTTCTTTTTCTTTGAGTCATCAAATAACAGCAGCTCATTAAACCACGTAGCTCGCCAGTGGAAAAATTTGTGGGTCTCAGTGGCCGTCTGATGGTGCAGATTTCACTGGGCATGTAGTCCCTTAATGAGGAAATCTCATGGACTTTCGTGACACCATGTAGAAAAAATAGAGTGTGTCCTACCCAGCTGTCATTACATAACAATTCTGAGACTTCATGCAGCGCACCCGCTCTAATCTTTTCCCTCACAGCTTCACCAAAACACCCATTAAAAAGGGACAGGGGATCTGACAAAAGGCTCTTTTTTTCATTTTCCAGGAAGCGGTTTGTTAGGTAGATAAAGACGTTTCAATTTGGCCTCGGGGTGGAGATTAAAACAAGCAGCATGAGTTATTGTGTTTGTGCAGAGTGGTGTGATTACTCCGCTGAAACAGAGTGTGCCTATCAACAGCGCTGGCTTTTCACATGACTAACCAGCATGAGAAGAAAAACATAAAGAACGGCTATTTACTGTACTGTCCGAAGCTGTACCAGGCTGTACCTTTTTTCATTGGGGGCCATGTCGAACAGGATGTTCTCCTCAAGAGTGGCATTGAGGAGCCAAGGCCTCTGAGATGCATAAGCCACTGGATATCTTTTGCTGCGAATCAGAGTCATGTTATCACACCATAACACTGATTTAGTCATATTGAAATAGAATGAATCATTTGCAAAGTGCATTACTTACTCAGATGATTTTGCCCCCGCAACATGATTAACAAACATACTAGGGAAAGAAAATAAATGAATAAATAAACAATTTCACGTACTTTTTCAATACTAATTTAATGCAAAATCAGCCTAAAATGTGAAATTTTACCTTTCATTTCCTTCTTCATCCTGATCTGGTAATCTGTGAGGTAAACATATATAATATGATCACTCAGCATCCACTTATACTCAATTCAGTACAAGAGCAACTCAGTAAAATGATATACGGCCCTCCAAAAGGACCACGTTCTGAGGTCTATCTACCTTGAAGGTACTATATATGTGTACAGTTGAAAACTGTCAAGCATGCTTTATCAGCCTTCCTCCTGATTCATCATTGGTCAGTGTCTGACCTCAGGACTTCTGATTTATTATTTGGGTGGTGAACTATTCTTCGCCCATCAGTGACACTGACATGGTACAGCACTACCAATGTTCTTCCAATAATATCCACAGAAGACTGGCTCTGTGGTCAACTGACCACTGATGAAGAGCAAGAGGAAGGCTAACACAGGCTGTGCATTAACCACTTTCATTCCCATACTTTTTACATACTAAGGCTTATTATTCAGAACTACAGGGACTTCAATGCAAACTGGCTGAGCTGTTCTAGTGTTTTGAAACTTCGAGCTCTGCTATGTAACATTGACATAACTATACCATAAACATGTCGTGGTAGATGTTGTTGTCATGAGTTGACAGTAACTGTGATGACATAACACAATAATGACATAATGTAACATGATCTGTCATGACGTCAAACATTATGGCATCTATAATAAAGTTAACGATAATGGTAACATGAAAAGTGTTACCTAGAGTGAACTGTAAAAAGTTAAAAGCTCAATAATGAAAGTAAGAAACAAATTAATAAGCAAGACACTGTTGTTGGGTGGTCTCTCACCTGTTCCATGTGACACTTCCTGAGATTTTCTGCATCTCTCCCAGAGCTGCCAGCAATAGAGAGGACTTGCCACATCCGACCTGACCCACAATCATCGTCAACTGACCTGACACACACATACACACCGTAATAAGAAATCATAAAGAAAATCTCCCAGCGTGATTGTAGTTGGTGTAGCATGGTAGGTAATATTGCTGCCCTGACCGAAATACTGGGGTTCGATTCCCTGCCCGGGTGAGCACATCACGACATTCGAATTAGAGCTATTGGGCTAGACTCTTTAAGGCTAAAGCATACTGGATGTGTCGCCTCAAATGGCAGACTGCACAGAGATCCAGAGATCACATAGAATGCATTATAGGCTCATTTCACACTCTACTTGTGTAGATTTAATGGAATAAAACTTTTAGCATCATGTTGTAAATTAATCACATTTGATATCAGCTAAGTAACTCTTCACAAGTCACTGTTTTCCAGCTAAAAGGTACGAGGTGGAAAAAAAAGCCTAGCAACGTTGGCTGGTTTAAGCATTATTTTCAGTGCAAACATTAAGCCACATGTCCCTGACTACAGATTTCTGCTGGTTCGTATTCCATTTAATATCATAATAAGAAAATATTGAGTGCTGCTTGATTATGTTGAACAATGTTGAGAGTCACTGTGTGTCAATGCTGAATGTCAGTATGCCTTAATTAAAATAGACCACTTTGTTTTGGGTCGCTCCATAATTTTGTTTCCAGTTGCAAAATAACACCACAACATCAAATTGGCTGCCATGTTAAAAATTTCTAGATTACACAACACAAGTCTACTCCTAATCTATCATAGTAGCATGATATATGTCATGCACAGAAAAAGAACCAGTCATGATAGAGTTACGGACTACTATTCTGTCAAGCTTGTCCAATTTAGCAAAAGTAGCTATATAATAATGAGCATTTGTGGGTGGAGCATGGATAGGTATGTCTAGGGAAATAATAAACAACTTACCAAAAGGAACTTTAATATCAATGTTGGTCAAAGTGGGGCATCCTGGAGTCCAGGTGAAATAACCATTGACGATCTGTAAACATGATAAACATATTGTATTTGTATATTCATGTGTTAGCAATGACAATGAGACATCAGCACTTCAATCTGACTTTCTCCCAAACTGCCCAAACTCTTACCTTGATACAGATATTCTCATCTTTGGCAGCAAAAGCGTTCAGTTCTTGGTCTTGCTGAGGTAAGTTGCTATTCTCATCCTGCTTAGTTTTGTTCTTACGGTTGACCAGCTTTGAGGCCTGGAGCTGGAGCATGTACTGGGAAAGGACAGGTGGGTTTCTTAGTCTAATCTTAAATCTGATACTCCAAACAGGTTCAGCAGTTGTGTATGTATATCTCAGTACGTATTCAGTAAAACTGGCTCTTTCGAACAAATTCTATGAAATTTGAAGATGATTATTATCTATACTTACAACTGACTTGATTTGGCTCCGGTCGCTTGTATTAGTTGGGGGAGGTGTTTTGGGTTCTTGATCATGTTCAATCTCACCACTGGCAAGGAATTCACTCAGTTTTTGCACACTGGGATGGACAGAGAAGAAGATAAACAATGCAATTCACCACCTCTGGTGCTTTAGCAGTTGCTGTGCAATGTGCAGGTTAAAATAAATGTATGCAATTCGACACTATATGGCATGTGCATGATGCTAATTGCTGTCTATAAGCTTCCATGGCTTGTTAGCTACACTAGCCTCTTGGCTCCAGTGCAAAGCCATACTATTGCTTCAATGTCCAGATTATATCAAAGCACGAATAATCAGGGCACAGTGAAACAAGCTCAAGACTGCTCCTGGATTAGTTCTGTGTTTACTATCAGATAGCATGACAAATATATATACTGCATGCTATAGATAGTATACTGCCGTTTCTAAAGCCTCTATTATTACAGTACTGAAAAACAATTGCCCCCGGCAGTGATTTCTGATTGGATGATTCCTGGCTTTAATACAGAGCTGTTACATAACTGCACAACTGTCATTGGTTCTTGAGTGTCCAGAAACTGTCAGTCACCTTACAAGAGCCTTAACCGTTGAGTGCAGGACGCTGGAAAGCAGGAAGAGGGGTGTGACCAGAATGTGGAACAGTGAGAGGGAGGCGAAGGCCACAGCGGGGGACAGATCAGTGTCGGCTGAGCTGTGCACGTGCACATGTACCACAAACGTCTGCAAAGCAAAATGCAAATGGGATTCATTTTTATATTGTAAAGCCCCTTTGTAGCTTTGTAAGTTTTACTTGGGAAGGTAATGTAATTTAAGTATTTACTATTAAATTTGTGATTTTAATCCAGCATTAATCTGCATGAAGGTCTTGTTTTTACAGTATAATAGTAATAATTGATGGTACAGGCCTTGGTATTAGCATCTGTCTGAAGTGATCTAATCATAAGTGGATAGCTACACTTATAGTCATTTATAGTTGACCTTTCCATGAGTCTTGCATAGGTGTCCAGTTATCACTTGTGGTTGGGTTTCATGCCTGGAGGAAAGGTAACACACATCTTTACTATGTTAGTCTCTCTCTAAGATGAAAATGTGCTGTGAGTCCTTGTTTGTGTAAATGTACAGGCTGGATTTCAAAGACAAGTTATACATGAACAGATGAAGAAATAAGCCATATAGCTGCTTTCATCTCTGTTGCAATGATTACGTGTCATGTGATCATATGCGTCCCTGACCACCTCCAAATGTGGTCTAAGTGCACTTAGCACTGTCCACTCATGATTTGATCACCCAGGAATATATGAATGACAAGTGTAAACAGGGCCTCAGTAATGCTAATCCTGTACCAATTCATCTCATGATAATGGAATAACAAAACCTGCTCATATACATGACAGTACAGTGTGTTGTTATTATTATTGAGTGTAAATGCCCAGGCTATGACTTTTCAATCTGGGCTATCTGAGAGAGTCTGGGGAAATGGCACTTATTATGTATACTGTACCGATTAACTGGTCAGAAATATGACATATTTCTATTGCTGTGGTAAAATTAATCCAGCTTGAATAATATTAAAAGACGACAGTGGATAATTTAGACAGTAACAAATACAGTATGGGGTGGTAAAGGTATAAAGTTTGAAAAAGAGCAATGCACTCACAGTAAGAACTGCTGCAATTGGAATGGCTGCATTCATGAAAACTGAAAGGGGAAAAAGGCACATTTAATTATTAACCCCTTAAATACTAAGAGCCACATATTAACGTTAATATCTATTTAAATCTAGTGTTCAAGAGGTTGACCCCCCTAAGCAGCAGGCTCATTATTCAGTTATTATACTTTAGACACATTATTTAGAGTTCTGTAGTTATTAGATTGAGGGATTTAGGTGTAGGCTCACTACAGGCCTTTAAAGTTTTGGGTGGTCCTTTTTAGTTGAAACAAACACTCAACAGACTCTCAGTAACATATCAAAACATAAGGAGGTTAGGATTAGGTTGAGGTTAAGGTTAGGGTTAGGATTAGGCCCACCATTAGGTTTTGGGTGAGGTTGGGTAAGGTTAGGTTTGGCATAATGGAAGTAACATATTAATAATACATCTACTTACTGTAAGTAATGTATCAACAGAACATCTACAAGATATTTACTTCAGTGTATTCAGATGCTTCACTACTGCTACTTCACTGTTATGTTGTTGATGTGTTACTGATAATCTGTTAAGAGTTTATTAATCATCTACAAAGAACCACTCAAAATAAAGCATTGCCGAAGTTTACTAGGTTAAATAAGTCACTGCTTTATATAAAATGCAATAACTAAGACTTCATAGACCTCTGATTGGAAATATGAATGCATGTATGTTTCAGGGCCAAGTGTGAAGGTGGAATCCTCACTGGACAGAGATGTGTACAGAGCAAAGGCTCTGAGGCTGGTCAGCTCTTTCTGCCGCGTCTCTTCAACGCTGGACCTGAAGATGTGCTCCCAGGCATACAGCTTCAGCAGCTTAATGCCCCTCAGCAACTCATTAGTCTTCTTCAGTCTCTCGCTAGAGTACTCCTGCAAGACACACAAACACACACTTGCTTTTATACAATTAATTGAGCTATGAAGTTTGTGAGAAGCAGAAAACATGACCAACTTCTAAGACTGAACTTTGGAGGTGTGGATAAATATTCCTGCAGATTTCTCTGAAAAAATGAAGGCAAGTCTCCCGAAAAGAATGGAAGCTGTAATAAAGTCAAAGGACGGACACACTGACTCACTGAGTACTGTAGTGGCTGCCACTTGCTTGGGTTTGCAGAAGGAGCTCTAGAGGCGCGGTATGCAGAGCTGTGCTGTGCACATCAAGCCCTCCACTAAAGGGATGTTAAATGTTTTATCGTTGTTAATGTTGTTGTCTATTAGTTTAAGAGTTAGTTAGTTTAAGTGCTTTTGTGTTATTCGTGTTATTCTGGGTCAGGGAGTGGGTTTAATTAGAGCAGGTTAAGTGGAAGGACTAGAGTTACATGGCTAGAAGTGACCGTCCCTGTTGTTTGGCTATTTGTCCTTTCTGCTAGTGTTAATAAAGACCACTTCTTGTAGCAGAAATCATGGCCTCTGCCCTGTGTCCTCCTTCGTCAAGATGCTACTGTACATTTAGTATTTGAGGCTTTAGCGTAATTCAATGTTGAATATGCTTTCTGTGTTTTTCTGACACTGAAAAATTAATGACATAATTGATGGTCATTTTGATTGATATGAAATAAATGTAGGGTGGTGTCTGACTTGTGCATAGCATTATATGTGTATCATAGCTGTCCAAGAATCACCATTTTTTCCCCAATATTTACCTTTCTGCATCATTTGAGCACAGTAGCTTTTCTTTCACCTTGTGTGAAAATTGTATGATGATCAGACCAATAGAAATGCTCCAGAACTGTTCAGAATAAAATCTCTGTACACTGACTTACACTGAACATAAACAACTTTTTTGCCCTCTCCTGTAACGTTACCATTTTGGAGATACGTGTTTTTCTCTGGACAGAGACAATATATGTAAGTATCTACATGTAATAAGAATTGTCTAAGTCTAACCATAAACCTAATCCTAATCTCAACAAAAAGACTTTCACTTCTGAAAAAAATGAAAGATGGAGCTATTTTGTTGGCCCTGTATGCTAATCATGTTCTTCTAGTTTCTCAGAAAGTCAGGACATTTTTGTCAACTGTAAAGCAAAGTTTTATAATGTACAAAAACAAACATGAATGCAAGCTCAGAAATCTTCCCTTGTATTATTTGTAACTAAGACTGTTTAAGTCTTATTATCAATTTGTGTGAATTTTGTATACATATGATGTTTATCAAAACCTTTTCTATTTAAGGTCAGCATTTCATCTTATTTGAAGTATAAACTATCTGATGCGTGAAGTTCTCACCAGCGTGCTTTTCTGTGCATGCGAGAGCTGAGTGGCTACAAAGTACTGCATGGGGGCCAGAACAGTGATCACTGCTGCTCCAATCAGAGCGCTGATCCCCAACAGGTAATACAGCAGCATCACACCAACAATGATCTGTGAAAAAAAATATCATAATGAAAAGCTGCAGTCTGTAATTGTAAACTATTCACTATATCTATGAAGTAGGCGTTTCTAATTAAGAGGCCACATGAGTGGAGGTACAAGGTAGGTGTTTCTAATAAAGTGGCCGGTGAACGGAAGTATAAGCTAGATATTTCTAATAAAGTGGCCAGTAAGTGGAGGTTCAAGGTAGATGTTTCTAATAAGGTGGCCAGTAAGTGGAGGTTCAAGGTAGAAGTTTCTAATGAAGTGGCCAGTGAGTGGAGGTACATGGTAGGTGTTTCTAATGAAGTGGCCAGTGAGTGAAATACAAGGTAGTTGTTTCTTATGAAGTGGCCAGTGAGTGGAAATACAAGGTAGATGTTTCTAATAAAATGGCCAGTGAGCAGAGGTACAAGGTAGGTGTTTCTAATGAAGTGGCCAGTAAGTGGAGGTACATGGTAGGTGTTTCTAATAAAGTGGCCAGTAAGTGGAAGTACAAGGTAGATGTTTCTAATAAAGTGGCCAGTGAGCAGAGGAACAAGGTAGGTGTTTCTTATAAAGTGGCCAGTGAGTGGAAGTACAAGGCAGATGTTTCTTATGAAGTGGCCAGTGAGTGGAGGTACAAGGTAGATGTTTCTAGTAAAGTGGCCAGTGAGTGAAAGTACAAGGTAGGTGTTTCTAATAAAGTGACCAGTGAGTGGAAGTACAAGGTAGATGTTTCTAGTAAAGTGGCCACCGAGTGAAAGTACAATGTAGGTGTTTCCAATAATGTGGCCAGTGAGTGGTAGTACTAGGTAGGTGTTTCTTAGCATCCAGTGAGTGGAAATACAAAGTACATGTTTCTCATAAAGTGGACGATAAGTGAACATTTACGGCAACATACTCTCCCGACTAGGGCATGTTTAAATGTAGCTTTACATGTATTTGACTGACAGTATAAGATAAATACACGATAAACACATGTTGGTGATCTGACCTGTACTGGCATGGCCCACAGATTAGGACACAGAAAGAAGAACCACATGAGCTGGTTGGTGTCTCTGGCCACCAGATTACAGATCTGAGAGATGGTCATATCCCCCATAGACATATTGGAGGTGCACAGACGCAAGATCTTATTATAGATCTTACACTGAAAAGATAGAACACAGTGCACATATTGTTACTAGACCATAGGATAAGCATGACTCTGAATAAAAAAACCACAAACAACTTTTTTTTTCATTTTAGATTACTGAACTTTTTATGAACGTATTCATCATTGAATGTAATCTCCAATGCATTAGCACTTCTTATTCTCACCTATAATACTATAAATATAAAACCTCAAAGGCAATCACATCAAGAAACAAGGGGAATATAAAATGTTATTCAATATTAAAACCTGAATAGCTCCTCTCAGTTTAATTCCAGTCTCTATGGCTACGTAGAAGGAGGCCTGAAGGAGGGTCCTCTGGAGGAGCAGAGCCAGGAAGAGCAGCACGGCCAGCACGTAGGCATTTGCTAAGAAGGCTTGAGAGGAAATGAAGTGGACCCCAAGCAGCTTGACCTGCAGCACACAAACGTGACAAGCTGTATTTTCAGCTAATGCTTCAACATCACGCATGCATTGACAATATTGATGTCTGCTGCTCAAGGATAATGATTTGAATAAGAAGTTTTCTGGCAAGGTATGTATTTATCAGCGTGATGAATAGAAGAGATAGAGTTTAGGGAGTTGAGTTTGTACTTGAATTCTGATCTAAATAAATATTTGTTGTTGTGGTAAAAAAGTCAACAAGTATTGCTTCTCCTGTATACTTTTGCTACAAACAGAAAATGAAAGTAGCAGACCAGTAGGCATGCACATAAAATGATATCATACATAGTAAAACTGGTAGTCCCATCCATAATAACCAGTACATGATCTATTGATTTTCTCTGTTGTCAGCATGAGCATGAAAGCTTTTAGGTCATTCTTGTAAATGCAGCTGCACAGGTTCTTAATCCATTCTTAATCAATGGAAAGATCTGATCTGCACCATGCATAGTCTCGGTCTGTTTACTTTGTTATGCCATCGCTATAATGTTGTTTTATTTATTTATAACCCTGCTGCACTGCAAATGTAAAATTTTTCAAAATTTTGGATTCATATATATACACACCGATCATATATATATCCTTGTTTCTACGCTCATTGTCCATTTTATCAGCTCCACTTATTATATAGGTGCACTTTGTAGTTCTACAGTTACAGACTGTAGTCCATCTGTTTCTCGTACAGCGCAGGTACTATTTGGCTGGTGGATCATTCTCAGTACTGCAGTAACACTGATGTGGTGGTGGTGTGTTAGTGTGTGGTGCTGGTACGAGTGGATCATACACTGCAGTGCTGCTGGAGTTTTTAAACACTGTCCATTCACTGTCCACTCTATTAGACACTCCTACCTTGTCAGTCCACCTTGTAGATGAAAAGTCAGGGACAATAGCTCATCTGCTGCTGCACAGTTTGTGTTGGTCATCTTCTAGTCCTTCATCAGTGGTCACAGGACGCTGCCCACAGGACGCTATTGGCTTGATATTTTTGGTTGGTGGACTATTCTCAGTCCAGCAGTGACACTGAGATGTTTAAAAACTCCAGCAGCACTGCTGCTGTTGATCACTGACCAGCACAACACACTACACACCACCACGTCAGTGTCACTGCAGTGCTGAGAATGATCCACCACCCAAATAGTACCTGCTCTGTGAGGTTCCATGGGGGTCCTGACCACAGAAGAACAGGGTGAAAGGGGGCTAACAAAGTATCAGAGAAACAGATGGACTACAGTCTGTAATTGTAGAACTACAAAGTGCACCTATATAGTAAGTGGAGCTGATAAAATGGACAATGAGTGTAGAAACAAGGAGGTGGTCATAATGTTATGCCTGATCAGTGTATATAAAATGTAATTTGGTCAGAGGCACCAGACTTTTGCATATGACTAACAGATACAGTATTATTTCAAAGTTTTGAATCATTTGTAATGGTAATAATTTGTGGTATTTTATATACAATGGTAACTTATATAGTGTTGATTTAAATCTTAATAAATAGACACTATTTTTTGAGCTAACTCATAATTAATATTATACAGTATGATGCACTGTATATCATTTATTTGGAATCATTTAATCAATGTTACCTACTTAAAGATTTAATTACTACTAACTGGATGTTACAATTCCATTCTTCATTCTATACATTTATAACATTTCTTTCACTATTTATTTTTCTAGTATCCAACTAATCGTTTGAAAGCTATGCAGGCTTGCGTCCTCGGTTCATTTTGTACATTTATCTGAAGTCAAATTTATCAAAACAGTTCAACAGTTCAAACTTTTCAACACTTGTACCAAATGAATCTAATATGATGCTTATGCTTTACAAGTTAATGGGTTGCAAATAATTTGTAAGAAGCTTATAAATGTAGATGTATTAGAACGTAAAGAGTTACGTGATAAAAGTAACATCCGGAATGCCTCGTATGAGAATAACGGTGATCAAATCCTGAGGCAGATAACATCATAAGAAATACTGTACTTAGACAATTGAAGTACTTTATATATTATTTAATATACTACATTTTCAAAAAACATCACATTTTAAATCTAAAACATTAAAAAAGTCTCAAAATGCCTTCTGGCATCTGGTTTATAATGTTTAAAATTACACTAATTAAGTTATTACCAGATAAAATTACATTATTTTTATGACATATGATTGTATTGCTTAACAGTGGTGCACTGCAGAAATGAACAACAGCGGCCTCCCCCCTGTTTTAATGTGTGGACAGCAGCAGTACCGGGGCTTTGATGGTGTGGTTGTCACGGCTGATGTGGTGGACGATGCCTGAGATGCAGAGCGGTCCGGCAAAGCCCAGCAGGTCAGCCAGGAAGCGGAAGGTGATGCTGAGGAACAAAGGCCTGCCGAAAGCCTGTCGCAGAGCATGCCATATCCACCGTGAACCATGCACTGGGAGAACACCTTTCTCCTGGACAACAGCACACAGGACAACACACACATCATACAGCAGTCAGGTCATGACTGATATAAAACTATTGTCATCAATAACAATTTTAAGGGGCTCAAACTTGCTGGCAATGAATGCAGTTAATGCCAGAATGTTAGCAGGGCTCACATAACTTAAACGTTGCTGATTAACCACATCATACACTGATATGTAGCTGTTCCTGAAATTTGCAATCATGATGATGTTTAATGGTGTAGTTGATAGTAGAGATTGCTTAATTTGTTTATTATGTGACATGTTGAACATAACACTGGTGTGCACACACCAATGTGTAACATATGTGGTGAAATAAAATTGATTCTGATTCATTTTAAAGGTAATCAGTGGAAACATACACTGTGTCCATTCCGTGATCCCATTCTGAGATCCTACTGGTGCTTTATCTTTGGGATTACTGGCAATGCATACATCACTGTAACCTTAATATTGGCTGATTTTCAATATCTTAGTTAAGCTCTAATGTATCCTCTAAATTATATATGCGTACTAAAACTCAAAAACTCAAATTAGGCTGGAAACTCTAGCATGACATGTTGCTGCCCATGATTTGATAATGGAGAGTGATTAATTAAATCCTAACAAACAAACAAAAAACAAACAAACAAAAACTTCTCTTTTACCAGCAGTACAGTACAAATCTTATAAAACACTGTGAATGTGACTTCACCATGATCACTCATGTGGAGTTTTCTGCTTATATTACAGTTTATTCCTATGATTACTAAGCATACATATAAACTCTAATAATGCTACATAATGCTGTAATGTATAATTAAACTTTTGATGACTTATACACATATTGTAGCACAAGTGTCACTATCCATTATAATGCCTTCTAAATGTATAAGGACATGTACATAGTTATAAAGCACTTATAATACATTTTAGCAATTACAAAACATTATGAACATTTTAAATGTCATCACTGAGTACTTCAAGTTAAGTTATTGATATTTTAGGTTATTCACATTTGAATGTTAAATGTAATGTGCTGTGTTTATGTATTTGTCAGTATGTGCTCTATAATATAATGATATCTTTATTATTGCAGCATCAGCTTGCGGAGCTTCCTGCCTTACAAGGTTTATTAAGTGCCACCTGGTCAAATTTGGACATTGTAGGACAAACAGATGTTGAAAACAGTTGTTCTCACTGTACAAAGCAATTATATGTACCATAATCTTTTTTTAAACTGCTGTAATGTGTCTGTGCTTCTGTAATTAGTTAAATGCTTCCACCTCGCACAAGTTCATAGTACCTTATCAGTTACTTATAGCAAAAATACCATTTAAATATCAATCACTTTACCTGAAGCACTTACTGATGGCATTTCAAATGTTTATAATGTTGTTATAATTGTTAATATGTATTATAGGTGCTTTATAATTGTGCATTTATGATTTAAAATGCAATTGAATAAATAGTGACACTCGTGTTTCAACATGTTTACAAGTCACTAAAGAAGTTTTTTTAAGTTTGTTATTAGAGACTTCTGAAGCTTAGAGTTGATAATTTTATAAATATACGTACCAAACATTGTTACCAAGTTACAAAGAGTTATAAGCACATTTATAATGGCTTATGAATATGAAAGTGTTCATCAAGCACTTTTAGCAATGCAACTTTTCTTGATACTTAGTGATACCTTTCATAAGTTACTTTCTATACTTTCTGTATCTTATGTAACACTGTAGCCTCTTTCTGCAGCCCCCTAGTAGCCATTCCACTGGCAGAATGGAAACTGACTCCTGTATTTTTAATTAATATAATCAAATAAAACATTGTTTTTGTTACTGTTATCAGACTAACCAGGACACTGTTGGCTCTCTGAAATGTTATGACTCTGTGTTGTACTGCTAATAAGCAATGAAGGGTGAAAGGGGAGGGATGAGACCATGAGACCCCCTGCTATAAAAAATGTATACCCCCTACAAATGGACAGCTCAAACTTGTCCAACTGCTATAATAAAAAACATAATAAAAACACTTTAATAAATGGTGACTTGCTTGCTTACCGACTGATACACAAAAATTAATTCACTTCGAGTTTTGTAAATCACAAAACTTTTCATAAAAATATGTTATATTAATGTTATTGATGGAAAAGAATTCAAAGGAGAACAACTGAGGGAGCTCCAAAACAGGCGTGAATTGTTTTTTGTGGCTACTCTGAAAATGGGTTGACTCATATGCTTTACTGGAATTCACTGACTAATAATAAATACATTGATTTCATTTAAAAAATATTTAAATGTTCAAAATATGTTATCATTGTGTTATTATTTAAAATACAATATTAGCACATTTTGGTCATTCACGTCATACATTTATGTAATGCTTCCAAAACTTCCAAACTCTGCGCTGGACCTGTCCAGGCTTATGTAAGCAGCTTAGAGTGACGTCTTACAAGGAACCCAATGTCCAAAAGATGAAGAACGAAAGACAATCCTCTATTTCTCAGCACACTCCCCCACCACCCACCTTCCCTTCCACCCCCCCATTTTGCAGACATATACATGTGAAAAATACCATAAGCGCCAATCAAAGAACAACAAAAGCAGACAGACAAACACAGACATGCTGATCTATACTGAGCAAATGGGAATTTTCAGCTCTTTTCCTCTGCAGAGCTAGTCTGCATGCACGTCATTGATTTGGCTACAGCTTAATCCTGTGTAACATCTGCTGAGTGCAATACGACTCTCTCCGTGATTATCTCCCTTTCAGCATCATGGGAAAACACAAAGCAATTCCAGAAAATTGTTCTGTCAGTCTTTCTCAAATAGTTTGAGTATTAGGCCTAAACAATATGTAGCACTTGGGTCATACTACCAAAATAGGATGCCCTTTACGTTAGGACAGCAGTTTAACAGTTAAAACTGTGCACTTTTTTTAAAACAATAACTTTTTTTCAAATTATTATGGTAAGATTTTTAACAATTTGAGATCAAAAATGACCAAAATATTCTGACAAATACAATTACTGATCATTTAGCTTGATTATCTTTGATTCTGTTGATCAGTGTCAGTGATCACTGTCACAGTCAGTGAAGGAAAATGCTTCTCTGATTATGATTATCACAATATAGTGTGGCTGAATGCTTTGCTATATGTGAGACTGGAAAAACTTCAGAATGCTGATATGTTCTATTATATTACACACATTGTTCAAGTATCTCCGTTTTGTTTTTTTTTATGTTGTTTTTTTTTATTTTCTGCATCATTTGAACACAGCAGATGTTCTTTATATTGTGTCATAATTTCACTATGATTGGGCCAATAGACATTATTTAAAAAATCACTTTGAATAAAACCTCTTTACATTTGCTTACATTAAAAGTTACAGTTTTAGAGATACTTTATTTTTCTTCAGACAGGGATGATATACTGTATTTTAAGTACAGCATTATTTGTAATATTTCATGTCACATTATAAATAATAATCATTCAGACAGGGATGATATACTGAATTTAAAGTACACCATTATTGTGATATTTCATAGTACGTCACATTATAAATCATAATCGTTAATGTACTTGCTTAGTGTGATTTTTATGCTAAATGTGTGTGCAATTACCAAATAAAACTGATTTTGAAAGTGATCCATAAGCACTCCAGTCATTACATTTTATGTACAGATGTTGAAAAGATTGACTTATTTGTGCTTACTTGAGTTCAAATGATGATACTTTTACTTCTACTCACACTGTAAAAAGTGGCTCATCAGATCTACTTAAAAAAATACTTCATGTGGTAAAAAGCAATTGAACTAGTTTTATTCAACTCAAAAACTTAATTCGATTAAAAGAATCGTTCATTCAAAGTATTTATTTAGGTTGAATAAAACTAGTTAATTTACTTATTACCACAAGTAATTTTTTAAGTAGTTCTGACGAGACACACAGTGCAGGTATATTTGTGAATAAACTAATCTAGTTTTTCCTCTTTTACATTTTAGTCTTTGAACTTTGGTCAATAATTTGTTTTGTGTGTGTTTGTTTTTGTTATGTTATGCTGGTGAAAGCATGTGGGCTGCTTTACGATTTATTTTTGAGGTTTAGCATTTTATTTTAGACCAAGACTGCATCAAAAAGAGTTTTATAACAGTCCCTCTGGGCCTGATATAATCTCGGAATGAGAATACACATCTGGAGACAACTTTTTAAAGCTTTGGTGCTGGACTGCTGCAAAATCTGACCCTACCCAGGGTAGCAACATGTCCCTTCTAAAACCCACACCTTCGTCTGTGCTCTTACAGTACAATCGATAACACAAGCAAAGCAAGTTAGTTAGAGAAACACTATAGTTTTGGGGGTCGTGTTAACTTACATTACATCCATGGGCTAACAACGGGTTTGCTGTCTGTCGGACAATGCTGACAAGAGCACCATCGCACCCGACTGCTATTGAAGTCAAAATTCTGATATTGTGACACTCTATCACAGCCTCAACAGTACCTTTTGTATGTCGAAGGCCTTTCGTAGCCTCTGGTAGTTGGTAATGGCTCTCATGGCTATGGGCAGCTTGCCAATGGTCTTCAGGTCAATAGGCCGTCTGTGGGCAGATGTAATGAAGGTGTTCATCCACCAGTATGTGCTTTTAGACAGCAGATTGACGAAGGGCTGGAGGAAGCGGACCCCCAGGTCTTGCAGGTCCTTGGGTGGCTTCTGTTCGGCAGGATGAGGGAAGAACACGTAGCGCTGGAACACACAAGAGCCAGATGGAGGAAGGATTACTCACACACCATCACCATACCGGCTAAAGAGGTCATTGATATGGACAGCAGAACTGCCAGTGCTTTGGTGAGCAAATGGTTAACTAACAGATATACCAACAAAATGCATATGGCTATTCTGGCCTTTTGTTCCCTGTTACTGAGTGTGATGCCTGCCAACACTGCATCCTTTAACTGACATAACAGAATTGTCAGTGCTCTCTGTCGAACTGTACAATGATGATTCATTAGCAGCAAAACAAGGCCTTAGGTGTCTCAGAGGAAGCATATGCTAGCCTTCACCCTCCCAGCCATTAATGAGAAAAATAAATAAAACGTGTAAATGTTTTCAAATTACTCCAAAAATAACTTGGTGTAATGTTTTACTGCCCATATTCCAATGCCACGTAACTAGTAAACAAGCAGTTTATTTTTCAGTAATTCTAATTCATACAAAATAACCAAATTGAATCCACTCATGTTTGGTATCTTGTGAGGCTCTTGATCATTTAATCACTTTATGAAAAATAATAATCAATAATACCCCTAGTGCACTGATATACTAAATTTATGTATAACAAAATATGCCTTGTTAAAAGTTATATATGTCTAAAAGTTATGGCACATTTTCAAATTTTAAATGAATTTATGTTAAATTCATCATTTAAACTTGTAGAAAAATGTCATATTGAAGTTTATTCGCTATAGAGCATGTGTCATACTTGCATTCGGACTCTCAGTCCATTATGGACTCCCCTTCCCAGAATCCTTCCATCAGTCACACGACTCCACCAACCAATCACAAGCCACCCAGTAGATCACAGCCACCTGAATGCTGATTACTATCACCTGTACTGCCATGTATATAAGCCTGTCTGTTTGCGAAGTATTGCCCCCTGATCTGTCAGTGTATACAGTGATGGTCTTTTGTCTGATTGCTGTTCCGTTTATGACCTTGTTTTGTTTCCTCATTACATTCTCGTCTTTGTCCTTTTGGCTTAGTCTATCTGTGTATATTTGCTTTTTGGTTACGACCCTCATTTGTTTATTTGACTCTGTTATCGTCTTCGCCCATGTATTGTGTTTGGTTTATTTGGTTGCTGACCTGGTCTGGTGTTAACCCTGTTACTTCAGTTCATCTTCCTCCTGATAAACATTGTTAGTGTCTAATTTGTGAAACCAGCGCCACAGCATGTCTTAACTTATTTTCACTAAAATCAACAAAACACATTAATAGACTGGGGGTGTTTAAACTTTTGTATGTGACTGTATCTCTATAGTGAAGATACAAGAATGGAATTGGTAGATTTTTGCTTCACTCACTCGATTGTCCAATTTATGATTCCAATTTTGATATTTGTGTGTACATGTGTACTTATGTTGCAACTTTTGCTAACAAAGTTCTGGCAATGTGCCAGTGTGTTTCAAGGGTTCATTTAGCCAACACAGTGTGAGCTTCAGGTTGAAGCTTCAGAATCTGAATTGGCCTTAAAAATGAATGTCTGGTGTATCTCTACTGTATAATATAAACACAGTTGCCATGCAGAGTGGCTCTCGGTGGTTTAGTGGTAGTTGCATATATAGGAGAAATTGTGTCCAAGTGAGGTTCGCAGTACGCTAGTGGTCAAAAGTGCCCTGTGTTTCGTGTTGGGGTGGTGCTTGGCTGGGCAGTTCCATGCTGCTCTTCAAAATAAAAGTGCATCTGACTGTAAGTGATGTGTTGTCCAGTTCTTTTTCTGTGCTGATGCTACAATATTTTACTAATGCAGAAGGAATGCAATCATTTGATCCAAGTCAATTCAGTGCATTTCATTTTAGTGTGGTCATGTAACTGCAACATAGCACATTTTAACACAGTCATTTTCGTGACCGTCAAGATGTTGGGTTATAACTGCACAAATGCAAGCTAGAAACTCTCCTCATAGACTGTTACCCAACCATCCAAAAACCACAACCTCTATTCACCTCAACCTCCTGCTAAACGGCTTAAACGGCAGGGCAAAAGCGAGGGATTTATACGCCACCCCCACCTCTGGCGGGCAGGACAGATGCAGGGTTTGAATCTCAGTCAGACATGACAAAACAGACAGATGAAATAGATAAAGCACATCTAGTGCGATGCCACTGTTCTCTTAATCCTGCCTAGATGGAGAAGGTTTTCTGTGAATGTAATTACGTAAGAGAGAGAGAGGATCATGGTGGACATCATAGGTAAGTGTCCTTGCCATTTCATTTGTCTTGTGACACAAGCGGATTATCATAATTTAAAGCTTCACTCAGAGCCTATTTTGTGCCAACCTTTAACTCCCAATATAAGCTTAAATAGGATTCAGTTGTTTCTGTTTTTAAACATGGTTAAAATGTTTACTAAGTATTTTATATAATGCACAGATTGGTTTTCAGTTGGAAGACAAAAACTAAACTATATACTTCTGAGAATGTAACTGACCTATCCATGCTCCGCCCACAAATACGTTCTTTTATAGCTATTTTTGTGAGGTTGAACAAGCTTTACAGAACATTAGCGAAAATCTCATTCAACCTAATGAGAAATAGTGGCGCATGCCTTTAGAGTATGCTATTCATTTCAAATGATATTTTCTATTTGCGTGAAAGGTCACATGGCTGCATAATCACGTTTACAGAATATTGCCAAATTCTATATTGCTGTGCTTTCTAATATGCCTAGTTTTGATAACCTGAAAAAATATAATGCATCTCGGTAGCATAACATTTTAAACTGGAACCCCAATGTAATGTACTGCATCTAAACTTCTTAGCAGTCAAAGGTTAGGCTGAAAGAAATTTTTGCTTGTGCTCTGTAAAGGTTGTCCAATCCAGCAACAGTTGCTGTGGATCCATTTTTGTAAGCAGATTGTCTTTTTGCATTTTGGTCACTGCACTGATTGGTCGTTGGGACAGCAATAGAATGCCAGATTAGTAACTTAGCTAATGAAAGCTGGAAACTCAACCTCAGATACACCCTCAGAGATGCACTCTGTTCTTGGCCCTATGGTCTCTTACCCAGCGTAGAATAACATTGACCTCCACAGCCAGCAGCAGGCCGTAGAACAAAGCCAGCAGGCCTGTGATGCAGAAGCGTAGCTGCCCCACTCCGATGCCGTGCTCAGTGAACTTGGCAAACTTGATGGTTTTGGTGACAAAGGCCAAAATCCAATAGATGAGTAGAGCTTCAAGACAAAAAAGCACAGTGAAAATAGAGAAAATTACTCTCACTAAATTAGTTCAATATAGCTAATGAAGCTAAAAGCTTGTCATTCTTATGGGTTTTTCACATGATATACTGATGAGTATAAAGGGCAGGTAGAGGGATCTTGATGCATTGGTAACACGGTCTTTTACAGTCCCTGAAGTTCTAAGTATTAACCAGTGTCACGCTTCCGGGTCCTCCTCCCCTGCCTAACACGCTCCAGGACTCCATTTCCCAGAATCCCAATCCTCATGACATCATCCCTTCCACCAATCACAGACCTCTGCCTCGTTCTCAGTCACCTGAATACTAATTCAACACACCTGTACCCATTTGCCTTAAACCTTAAAAGGTTCCTGGTTTGTTCTCCTCTTTGTGAGGTATTGCCACACTACTGGTTTACTGAGCGGTTACCTTCTGTTTTCATGACCTGTGTACCGAACCCATTGCTTATTTCTCGATTGTTTCTCTTTTGACTTTTGCCTGTTTTTGGATTTGCCCTGACTCGGTTCTCTCATTAAACCAACTTTTGTTTTTAAGATCCGCGAGCGTCTTTCTGTGCTTGTTCAGCATTACAACCAGATAAAAGTGAGGTACAAACTCACACTAGGCAAAGTACTAAGCAATTATTTTGAGTTTACACTGAAGTGGCCAACAGATTCTACGTATTTACCTTAAATTTTTAAGGATTTTTTAAGGTAATTATTTAGGATAAAATTATAGCAAGAAAATAGACAGTCACTAAATTTCACTGTAATGCCACATTTAAACAGTGATATACATAAGAAAAATCTCTAAAGACTAGATAGCTGTTTTGGAGAAAAAGTGATCCAAATGCATTAGAGTCTTATATACCTGTATGTAAATAGAAATGCAGCTGAATCAGGACTATAACAGAGAGCAATGATTTTTATTTTCACTGCTGTCAGAAAAAAAAACCTTGTGTCTCCAAAATGGTAACTTTACAGGAGAAAGAAAAACGTTCTTGACTTTTAATGGAAGTAAAAGGAGAAATATTTTTTTCCAAGTCATTGTGGGCCATTTCTGTTGGTCCAATCATCACAAAATGTTGACACAACATAAAGAGCAGCTGGCTTTTTAAAATATGTCAAAAAATGAAAAATGACAAAAATTGAGATACAAGGTTTTGTCCCGACAGTGACATGTTTACTGGGTCCTCACCTTAGAGATTTTTACTGTCTACTTTCCTGCTTAAACTTGTGATAGTACAGTGAAATTTAGTGTGGGTACATTTATACATACCACCATGTTACTTCAAATAATTTTCTAACTATGAAATATTCTACTATGTCCTTCTTCATCTTAATAACAAGAACCTGTTGGGCATTTCAATGTAATTTTGTTAAGACTCTTTTGGAACTTACCACTATGTTATTCAAATTAATTAGTACTTTAGTGTACCTCACACTTACCTGGTTAATACCTAGAACTTAAGAGACTGTAAAAGAAAGCAATATGGAGGAGTAGCACGTGTTACTCTATATAATGTGACAATAGGATTACATTTTTTGATAATTTTAAGACAGTTGACCTATCCATGCTCCACCCACAACTTCATTTGTTCTTAGCAATTCCATTGAACCTAATGAGAAATTGTAGCATGCTCAGGTTTAGTCAGAAAATCTGAATTATTTGCTACAGTGCTATCTACTAGTGTTTGTTTAGAGATGCTACACAATGAGTCTCCAGGTTAAAATGCTATGCTACTGAGCCACACTATGTAATTAATTGAATCTAGGCAGGTTGGAAAGGACAATGACATAGAATTAGCTGTCATGCTAGACAGCTATCTCAACAGTGTGATCATGAAGGCAAAATTAATATCATTTTACATTAATAGCACACTCGAAATGTATGTATTATAACAAAATTTGTGTGTTATAGTTCCTAATAAGATTGAATGGGATTTTTACTGACGTGTTGTAGGTTGTCCAACATCGCAACTCTTTGAGGTCAAACAAGATTTCCAAAAATCCATTCAACCCAACAACCTGCCTTGATTTGCTAGAGCAACATAGTCCAGCTCGGGAGCACTGCATTTTAAAATGGAAACCCAATGTTGTATAGTCACAACAATTTCTCATCCAAAAAACAGAGTTTTTGAATGTTGAGTTTCAGCATTCAGTAAAGCTGTTTAAACACAACAGCTATGAAAAAACACAAATGTGTGAGCTGAGCATGGATGGGTCAATTAAGAGTTCATTTAGGACATGCATTATATATTCTTAATTTCTCAACAAACTGAATATGTGAATATATTTAGTCTTTCACACATTTGCAAAACACTGTACATACCTAGAAGTAAGTTGGGAAAGTTGGAGGTTTCTATGTTATGGTAATAGACTATAGAGGTTAAAGCTGCCAGTATTCCCAGCCCTGCTGGCATGTAGAGGTGGACGTGGCGGGACTGGTTAAACCTGAAGAAACAGAAAGGTTCATGTAAGAAGTCCACATTGTAGCAAGATCCCACCACATGCAGTCTAACTGATATAACTCGGATCTACAATCCAAACCTCTGTGACTGTGACAGATATATTTTTGCCCATCGCCCACCCCATGTTAATCACACCCACAACACAATGTACTATTCTCAAAACCACACTAACTCATCACCTATTACAATGTCTAGTAGAAATGGCCTTAATAGATCTTGCATTTATGGCTTTGAAGTTTATATGATCATTAACGATTACACAGTGAGAGCTCACCCATCTGAGACGATCCCCTCTGCTATCTCACACACAAGCACGAACAGCAGGGCAGCTGTGAGCAGCCAACGGACGTTATGGCCAGGAAAGTGCAGCCAGGTGCTGTGGTGAATGTGGACCTTAGAGCTTTGACTGCCCCAACCTACAGAAAGCGCATTGTTTACTACAAACAGCCATGAACTGAAATGACCTGATTCAATACATTAACTTTTCAGTCTACCACACAACCTAATTCCTGACAGAATACTCTTAAATGGCTGGGCAAAGGATTCAAGAGAGTAATCCTCAATCACTTAAATTAAAATTGCTGTTAATGGCTGTACTTATCTTAACCCTTAAATCCATATGTCAGGGTCACTAGCGACCTGTGACCTCATTTCTCCCCCTCAACCTCGTCGATGACAAAGAAAACAAGGTGAAGAAGTCACTGACCGATGAAAAGGATGGGGAAGGTGCTGAAGAGGAGGAAGACATGCGGAACAACTCCCAGAGCATCCAGAAAACACCCATTATTCAACAGCCCATTATCCACCTTATAGGCAGACGAGTTATCGGTTCCACAGAAAGATAGAGTACTGTTGGAGATAGGAGCCTGAGAGAGAGAGAGAGAGAGAGCGAGAAAGTGATTATTTAAATGTGTGCATCTATTCCATATGAAGAAAATATCTATTACATCAACACAACTATTACAAAAAAAAAAAGAAACTAAACTGAAACATTTGAAAATTCATTCAGTGCATCACTTTTTGGTGCATGGACGATGAGATAAATATATCTAAAACATAAATGTACTACATTTTGCAGCAAAAAAGAGAAACTAGTACGCATAGTAATGTGTGTTTCCAGGAGATGTAGTGGACCGTGTCTTCTTAGAAGGCAGTGGGGCAGTCAGGGGGGGTCTGGTGGGGAACAGACCCTCTGTAGAGCAACTAAAACCCTGGAGCAACATGGTTAAGTGCCTGGCTCTACTGTAGTGTGCATACTTCTATACTCTATACCAGAGTAATGACAGAGCCTGCAGCAGCTCACCTCTATTGCACACACTGTCTGCATGAGAGCAACAACAGAAATATAATTATATAAGTATTATATACATTAACATTGCTTTTATGTGAAAACGTTCATATTAAAATGGTTATTTTATTCATGAATTTACGTGTTTAAAATAAAAACTATATTTTATAATTGTTTTGTTTTTTGAGAACAACAAGGAGTTATTAAATGATAAATAACATACTGTATTTGATATATTACCTGCCTACATTATTTGATCACTACTTTTGAAATATGACACATTCTGATATTTTATAGATATTTTATTAGCAATTTTGTTTTCAAGAACACAGCATTCTCTATAATTAGTAACTCATCTACTGCACTGTTCATTATTCTGGTCACATCTAACACTTTTAAAAATATTTTTTTTAAGTTTTGTTTCATATTTTGGACACTGTGAAATTGTAGAGTGGTAGCACTGCAATAGAATAATTTGATACATGTCTCTGCATCTAGGTTGGTTTTATGTGATTGAAAATCAGGGGAATTCCACTGATTTTTCAACACTGCTTCATAACTAATTTACTACAATGTAAAATGTAAACAAAGTCATTCAGAGTGGTTTGGTGTGAAAAGCTTTGTTTTAGAGAAACTTACCAAGTTAGAACCAAGTGGTGGTGACAGGAACCAGAAGTCTGACTCTAAAAGCTACATCACAAAAACTACTACATTGAACAGTTATGAATACCTTGCCTGATGCCTGAGACATTGTTTTATGTTAGTTTTAGTTTTGACTTAAGTTTTGGCATAAAACATATTTTGGAATCTTTACATGGCAGAGAGGTACATGCTGAGTATTGTAAGGCAAACTAGCACCCAAAAAACCTTACATATAAAAACTCAGAGGACAGGTGTCAGGTCACTGGTCATATTGGATGGTAAATAAAACAACTGTAGACATCGTGACCCCTGGTTCCTGTCACCACCACTGTAACACAACATATGCTGCTTATGCTGAAGAATAAGTGAATCAGACAAGTGTGAAAGTGGTCACATTCATGTTTAGCATTTTTGCCACTAAGTGATGGTTTGATAGGAGCTACATTGCAGGTTAGAAATGAACTGCTGGCATCCACTAGCCCTTCTGTACTGAGATGTGGGATGGTGGAATGAAAACAAAACAAAAAAAAAAATATGGGAAAAACTGAGCGAAACAGCATTATTTACAATAATAGGGATGCACAATAATATCAGAATCATATCAGTAACAGCGGATAATTTTTTGAAAAAGGTCCCAGAATCGGACAGATGTTAAGCTTTTGCACAGATTATCTGATGACATATTGATTATACTCCAGAAGAGCAGAATATTTGGGTTACCCTGGACTGCAACACTAAAATCAGCTAAAATCACCACATTGGGAGCCGCAACATTTTATGTCCATTTTACCATCTTGATTGTAAATATGTCTCAGTATGTGCCAATGTGCTACTATATAATACAAACAAAAATGCAGACTTAAGTTACTTTGCGCTGCTTTAAGCTTTAGCTCAGCTATAGCCGCTTTTCTCACATCTTTGGCAGGAAACTCCTCTGCAAAAGTAGAATAGTTTCTTGTAAAATATCTCTCAACCTTTGACTTTTTACCAGGCTAAAGTCAGCTTATCGTTCTCCAGCATTTTGTTCGAGTCTTCCTGTTCCACCTTAATTGGTGCCTGAGGCGCCAGAATGTAACTGCTGTACCATTTAAGGTGGAACGGTAAAATTCGAACAAGAAGCTGGTGAATGAGAACTGATTTCAGCTTCACGACCTTTAAGTGTTTGACTGTTTCTCGTTGCAAATTAAACATATCAGGAAACCAGCTGGCGTGATTATAAATGCAAATAAGTCAATTCGCCTCAAAATTATCAACGTTCATCTTAAATCTTTCTCTTTACCTTTTCGTTACTAGCTAGGCAAGATTCTTGTCTGCATTGCCAGGGTGACCAGCAGTCTGCATGCCAACCTTCAGGGTTAAAGGTTGGTGAATTAGCAGATATAGGCTACATTTATTCCAGAGTTTATGACCATTTATTGTTTAACCTGTGTTGAATGATCAGCAGAGCTGTATTTTACTGCAAAAGAGGATTATTTTATTTTTACCTAAAAATCTAATTCTGCTGTGGAGCTGCAACAGAGCAGTAAAAGAGCTGCATGTTGCCGACCCCTGTACTAACTGCTCAGTGATAATCGCTGAAATGAAGACAACCTGCAACTTTCTCTACTGTTTATGAATCAAATTCTTATGAGCTTTCCAACTTGTTTTCTTAGTAAACAATTATTTGAAACTGTTGAGTACTGGAATCATATGAGAATAACAGTATAAGTGCATCTGTAACAAAGCAGGTTTTAGCCTTAGTGAATTAGATGAAAAGCAGCACTACTACATCCACGGCAGGCCTGTCACATTATAACTGCTCCACAGCTTCACTGACTTCAGTGGAAATGTTTACAAGTTTCATAGCGTTACACATTCAATCCGCGAGACAAACACACTTACCGGTCTGTATCCGCGCAGCATCCTGACAGACAGACGAGTTTCATTCCTCCCCCCGCTCCAGAACACACTGTAATGAGAGTGTGATGTCCAGGTGGTCCATGCCAGGCTCGGGGGCTGCGCTGCCCAAACTGCGCTCAGCCAAAAACACTAAAGCTGAGCTCTAATCCCGCGGATTACACAACACACACAGCCAGCCTCGGTGCTGAAGAGCGCTGGAACGGCAGGACGAGTGACAGTGAGCGTGAGTCTGAGCAGGAGCGTGCGCGCGTCTCCTGTTCAAATAAACGCGCTGCAGGAAACGAACTGCGCATGCGCACACATCCACCTGCAGCTCCGCATCTAAATAAACTACACAAATAAATAATAATTATGATGATCATTGTAACAGCAACTAGTACGACTACTCCAACTTTAACTATCTAATATAAAGAATATTATTACATAAAATATCTTTAAATATATTTACACCGATCAGGCATAACAATATGACCACCTCCTTGTTTCCACGCTCATTGTCCATTTTATCAGCTCCACTTACTATATAGGTGCACTTTGTAGTTCTACAGTTACAGACTGTAGTCCATCTGTTTCTCTGCATACTTTATTAGCCCCCTTTTACCCTGTTCTTTAGTGGTCAGGACCCCAGTGGACCCTCACAGAGCAGGTATTATTTGGGTGGTGGATCATTCTCAGCACTGCAGTGATACTGACGTGGTGGTGGTGTGTTAGTGTGTGTTGCACTGGTATGAGTGGATCAGACACAGCAGTGCTGCTGGAGTTTTAAACATCTCAGTGTCACTGCTGGACTGAGAATAGTCCACCAACCAAAAATATCCAGCCAACAGCGTCCTGTGGGCAGCGTCCTGTGACCACTGATGAAGGACTAGAGAATGATTAGCTCATACTGTACAGCAAGAGATGAGCTATTGTCTCGGATTTTACATCTACAAGGTGGACTGACAAGGTAGGAGTGTCTAATAGAGTGGACAGTGAGTGGACACAGTGTTTAAAAACTCCAGCAGCACTGCTGTGTCTGATCCACTCATACCAGCGCAACACACACTAACACACCACCACCACGTCAGTGTTACTGCAGTGCTGAGAATGATCCACCACCCAAATAGTACCTGCTCTGTGAGGGTCCATGGGGGTCCTGACCACCGAAGAACAGGGCAAAAGGGGGCTAACAAAGTATGCAGAGAAACAGATGGACTACAGTCTGTAACTGTAGAACTACAAAGTGCACCTATATAGTAAGTGGAGCTGATAAAATGGACAATGAGTGTAGAAACAAGGAAGTGGTCATAATGTACACACACACATATATGTTTATATTTATTTATGTACATAATGTGCACACACATTATTATTATTTTTTTAAACATCATTAACATTCCATATAAAAACTCTGAAGGCATGTAGATTCACAGTTTGGATACTGAGTAAAATGTTTATATTTGTGTTGTAGTTATCACAACCCCTGGTTCCAATAACCACCACTGTAAATAAATCTGTCAGTCTGTTTCTCTACAGTAACACATTTCACATCAAACCCCTCTGAAGGACTGTCTACACGTCAACCATGAAAACATGCAGAAATCTAAAAAAGGTGGAATTCCACTTTGAGAGTGTTGGTCATGACCCTGTAGTAGGAGACACACTGTCCTCTAGAGGTCACATGATATATTACCAGCTGCAGACAATGGACTTAACTTCTTTTCACCACAGTAAGTTTCAAATTTAAGCTGCACAGTGAGGTAGACTGTACTTGTAATTCAACTTGTAATTAGGACAGAGTGATTTGCCCCATTAGAGGGGGTGTTTTTTCCCATCGGGGTCGTTGTTTTACCTCACTGAAAGAGCCCTTACAAGAGGATGTTTTGCCCCATAAGAAGTGAGTTTTGCTTAATAAGAGGGTTACTTTGACACATTGGAGGGGTGTTTTGTGCCATAGAAGAGGTTGTTTTGTTTTATTAGGGTGTTTGTCCCCATACAAGGGGAGTGTTTTGCCCCTGCTGTCTCCCACCCTTGCCCTCTTGTACAACTAGTTTCATTGCATAATTTACTTTCTTTCATATTTTGTGTTTTCCACATTGGTATTACACTCTCAGAAATAAAGGTAGTAAACTGTCACTGGGACAGTGCCCCTCTTATCACTGGGATGGTTCCCTCAATGGTATGTCTCAGTACCTTTAGTCAGGGAACATATCTGTACCATAATAAATTGAAATTATATTTTGTAAGTTGGACTGACTCCGCACCCCCCTGTCTGGTCTCCAGGCTTTTTATTTTATTGTTCTGTTTTAAAACATCAGGTTATGAAAAGATACAAATATGTATTGTTTACCTGGAAAAAAAACTTATTTAAGGTTCACACGGGACCTTAGAACCTCTGTTGTTTGTTTGAGGGCACATTTACATTGTTTGTACCTTGATAAGCGAAAAATGTACCTGCACAGAACCTTTATTTCAAACAGTGTACACTCTTAAATATGATGGCTCTTCAGTGGTTCTTTAGTAAAGAAAGTGTTTCTAAATAGAACCATGAACACTAAAATAACTCTTTGCATCGTTAAAGAGTTCTTTAGATTGATGAAGTATGTGCTGTAGATCGTTCTATATAGAACCTTTTTGAAAGGGGTTCTATATAGCCCAGGTTCTTCTATTGTTACAGTTTCAAGCCTGCAACAATAGAAGAACCCTTTTTTGTCGTTATATAGAACACTTTTCAAAAAAGGTTCTACATATAACCATGTAAAACTCATTCTCCATCAATCTGTAGAACTCTAAGAGTTCTTTTAGTGCCCATTGTTCTATTTAGAACCATTTTCTTTACTCAAGAACCACTGAAGAACCATCCTTTTTAAGTGTGTAGGACAAACCACTGCCCTGTACTATGACTGGCTGGTTATATCCCTCATCCTGCACTAGGATTGGCTAGTCGTTCATACTCACCCACGATCCTTAAAATAGGCGCCTGGTAACACTGGAGGCGGAGCTTGGCGGAATACAGGTGTGAAAACAAAACCCACCGCATCACAGCGACTCCCGAGAGGAATTGATGGCGCCTTCAGCACCGCGGACAGTGACCAAAAAGGTCAAACCGTGATTGGCTCATCGAGCGGAAATAGGGCGTGCCTCCGCAGCAAAGGCATCCATCTATTGGGTGGAGCCCCGTGAACGGAAACCCTCGCGCTCGCGAATGGGTGGAGCCTGGTAACACTCAGGACTTTAGAGGAGCTTACTGCAAAAATAACAGTGCAGGGAAATAAACCTGTGTTTCCACAAGCTGCCCTGAGCACGTTCAGTTAAACGGTAGCTATTAGTGGAATGAAAGACAGCGCGTGCGTAAGGAGACTCCTGGCGTTTTAAACAGCCGGGCGGCGCGTTTGAGAAGGTAAGAAGATTATTTCACTTCTCCATCGAGTCAGTCTATAAACTCCAGGTCTTTGGTGCCTCGTGATGTGCATTCTCAATATAAGGTCCCGTTCAGTTTTCAGGCTCTGAATCAGGGAGTCTTAAGGCTTTGTTGGATGTTGTAGAAGAGATGTGGGTTCAGTGTTTGAGCCAAAACATCGAGAGGATTCAGGTCTGTTGTGATCCTGGAAAATCTGTCTAAAGCCAGGCCTAATACCAGCGTGTCTGCTTAACAAAGCCACTGTCTACTTTCTGTCTGAGAGTTGTGATTTTGCTGTTTAAGTCAGCAGTTTGTCAGTATTGACAATGCATTATCAAACACTGCAAAGGTTTCAGTACACTAAAAAAAGTTATGCATTGAATTGATTTGATTTAGATGTGCATCATTTCCACAAGAATAAAATGCGTAACATCAACACAAATGTTTTAATCTGTTTACTTACCTTTGGTAAGAATAGTGTTGGAATATTTAATTATGTGGGAATTATACACACATTTGAACGATACTCTCTCCTTTAAAGTAATGTAAAGGGGAACTACCTTGATTTTTCCAAAATTCTACATAATTAAGTGATTGAGGTGTAAATGAAGTCAGAGTGGTTTGATGTAAAACACTCCGTTCTAGAGAAACTTACCGAGTCAGAATTGTTCACAGTGGTGGTGATGGGAACCAGACGTCTGAAGAGTTTAATGCCTCTAAAAACTGAATGTCATTGCATGAAATGGTATATAAATACACTGCCTGATGTCTGACACATTGCTTTATGATAGTTTTGTGATAAAGTTTTGGATCAAAATGTATTTTAATCGATTTATTTTTATTTATTTATGGTGGAGGGGTACATGCAGTGCATTGTAAGGAAAAATAGTCTCCGAAGAAAACTTATTAATTTCAGATACTATTTCATCATCTTCAGCATTACATGTAAAAACTCATGTGAAAACTCAGAAGGCTCATGTAGGTTTACGGGTGGTTTTGGATAGTCAATAAAATGTCTATATTTGTGTTGTAGTCATCATGACCCCTGGTTCCTATCACCACCACTGTAAAGAAATCTGAGTCTATAAGCTTATATGGACCATTTCACTTCAAACCACTCTAAATGTCTAGGGTTAAGACTGATTATTCAGAAATTTAGAAAATTTGGTGGAATTCCCATTTAAGTTCTAGGTATGAACTGGAAAAGTTAACATGATGTTAAATAAAAGATAAAAGATGTAGTAAAATTTCTCATATGGACAATTATTTAGAGTAAGAATGGCTAAATAGTAACAAACTCACATAAAATTTCACTCTAATGTAATATTTAAGCAGAAAAATAAACTGGAAAAACGATAGTAACTTTTTAATATGTGAGGTAAAAAGGCATTACAAAGAAACTTGAAGACACGTGAGTCTTAAATCATACCTACATATCCATTATCTAAAAACAAAACCGAATCTGGGCAGTAAAAGAAAATACTCACAATTTACCTTCTTGCTCAAACATATGATATTATATTCAAATTTAGTGTATGTTTGTATTTACCACCTTGTTTCTCCAAACAATTTTCAAATTAAGATCATTTTTACTATATACTTTTGTAGCTTGATAGCTAGAACCTGTTTCAGTGTAATTTAGTTACACTGCCTTGGTACTTAAACCCCATGTTAAACAATATAATTACACGGTACTGTTTGTTCCACACAGTTAATACCTAGAACCTGATGGGCACTTCAGTGTCATTTAGCTAAATTGGAACTCAGCACCCTGTAATTTAACTTAAAGTTTAAAACAGTTTTCTAGTACATTGGATAACTAGAACTTTAGGGACTGTAAAAGAAAGCATTACCATTTGAACTGAGCAGATTCAGTGTATTACTTTATAAGTGTGGACTCTGCTCTTAGAAGAGAGTTTTTTTTTATCTTGTTCAGAATAAAAAGATCTCTGAAGAGCAAACTCAGTAAGGGCATCATGCACAAGATACCGGAAGGCACCAGTGTTTGTATGCATACTGTGCTTTTTAGCTAATATTAGCCCTGCACACTGTAAGCCCAAATAAGTTTACATAACTTAAAAAATTTAAGCTAACCTGTTGCCCTAATTAAGCATTGGTGAACAAACCAGCAAGTTTAAGTTCAATGTACCTAAGATACTAAACACTACATGTTAGAATATCTGAAATGTTAGTGTTAGATTAACGTAAATGCATGTTTGTGCAACTTGTAAATTCTAACTATTTAATTTATTTTTTTAAAGTGAATCAAGCCTTAAATCCCAATTTATTTATATGTTTTAATAGGTTGTTAAGAAACTTTCTCTGGTTAAGTGATATTGATCACTTTGCCAAACACTGAAGGGTTAGTGTGAATGTGGTCACCCACCAGCACAAACCCTCACTCAGCTGCAGAGAGGCTGACAACTCACCCTTTTAGCCAACAACGTAAGATCAGATTGCTGAGTAAAGCATATATGAAAAGCATCCACCTGAAGAAAGGTAGCCTGGGTGGATTAAAAACACTGATGGTGAGTAAAATAAATGGAAATGAACATCCAACATGCAATTAGATGGAGCCAGGAGCCAATGGGAAAGACATAAGTTTTAGCCAACAAGACTGTGTTAATAAAACAAACATGTCACTGTATTTCACTTGAACAACACAGCTTACTTGGGGTCACTCAGTGATACACATTTGTTGAGTAACTTTAATAGGGAGAAATGATCAAACCAACAGCAGCACAGCTTCAGTTTTTGAATGTGGCGATTTCAAAGCAGCTAAGACTGAACTAAGTTGCAATGCTGATTCAATTTAAAAATGCCATTCAGCTCAGGCTTCTGTAGCAATATGCACTAACTCTTCTGATCTTTCTTTCATAGCAGTTCTCTCACTGTGCAGAAGAGCAAGTTAACATAAGCTACAGCAAATAACCAAATGGCTGGTATGTGTTTTTTTTTTTCTTTTCTTTTATTTAGCTTAGTTTCAATCAATGAATGACTAATTACAAAAATGCAAAGCAATATATGAAGCACAGCTCAAACTCTTTCAAAACTTCAAAAAGATTTTGCTCTTTTTTCATCCAACAGAAAATAATTTCCCACCTCTGCCTGGGTTCATCCCACTGAAGCCATGCTTCTACCAGGACTTTGAGGAGATCCCAGACCAGCACAGAACGATGTGCAAGAGGCTGTACTACCTGTGGATCTGTGAGTGTCTGAGACTTACTTGTGAGCTTCTAATTGTGCCGTATGCAACACATCAGTAAGAGAGATTGTGGGGGGTCTTGGAGATACTGTATGTATTTTCCTCCCAGCTTTTCATGCAGATTCCTGTGCAGTGACGAGTGGAGGATTGCAGAATATGCAGGAAACAGTATCTTGTTTATGCCAGTTTCAGCTGATGTTTACTACAGCATTCTTTACAAATGAACAAAAGGAAGTGGGGATGGGGATGACTGACACACTTTTAAAAAGATATAGGTTTTCAAAAATGAAGAAATTAATAGAAAATGTTATCTTTCTTTTTAAAATTTAAATTGGTCCATAAATATAAACATCATAATAACATAATGATTAAATAATAAGATAAATAAAACCAGGCCACTTTACCAATGTTAACTTTTTATGTTTAATTCTATAATTCTAATTTATACTATTTAATGAATTACACACTGCCCTATTAATACATAAATTATTATTTTATTTTCATCTTGCTGACTCAGTTATCTTTAAATGTCTTACATTTGTTATAAAGCTAAAGTGAATTTAATATAAACAGTGATATAATGTATCTCTAACAATAGCCCTACACTTCAGCAGTCTGGCACATGTGCCAACCACCTAAAAATCAATGTCCCAACCAACTCCACCCACATCAGGACACAATTTACTTTATATTTAGCCAGCAATATTTACCAATGACTTTAAAATAATATATAAAATATAGTTGATTGCATTTTTTACAAACTACAGTTAATATATTGTGGTGTCTTTGTGAAGAAGAACCAGAGGGAAACATTGCACGTGTAGGTAAATGCTCTTTTACTGAACAGTCAGCGATGGAGAACTTCCACCCAGCGCTGAATTGCACAAATTGCACTGCTGCACTAGTAATGTCCACAACTACAACATCACAATAAATTTTGGATGGCCATGCCTCTCATGTTCCTATGTCTGTGCGGCCAGTGGTGGAAGCCACATAGCTCCCCCCACCTTCTAAGGTCAGTCGTCTCAGTCTCAGAGAGCTTGAGCAGAGCCCCTGGGGTGTGCAGGGGCATGTCACCCCTCACCACAGTCTTTCAGCAGCAGGGGTTATAGAATGTTTGCTGCTGCATTTGTGTTCTCGCTCAGGGCCATGTCCACTCCATCAGGGCACCAGAATAGGGGAGACTGACTGAGTAGCAACGCTGCTCCACTCGGCTGCTCTCTGCTTTCTCTGCCTCCCATCATGTCAGCTCTGGCAAGGGTGCGGCTTGTGCGTGATGGAGCCCCGACTCTTTGCCACAGTTACAGTGGATCGAAGGTTGGCTGGTTCGGGGAGTTGCACATGCCATCCCAGCCCCTTCAGCAGCACTGCGCCCAGGACATTCCCCAGCATTAACTCTTCCTGTGCTGCCTTCCTGAACGCCGAGTGTTATATTTTTGTGAAGGTTCCCCTTACTGACCCTGAAATTAACACTGACACAACCAACCTGAGTGCTTACCAACCCCATTCTTCCCATTATATGGAGGTGCTTTAAACTTTAAAAAGGGTCTTCACATCTTATTTAAATGACCCTCTATTGAAAGGTTCTTTAAAGAACAAAATTTTATGGTTTTATGATTATTTTATGACACCTATGATTTAATAAAAAATATTATTTTAATGAAAACTTAAGCAAGTAGTAGGAAATTGGATAAAATAATGACTTTCTTATTCAGTGCGTGGGCCATGCCTCATTACCTTATCTCGTCTGATTCAGTCTCTAATTATTTCATTATAGTAGTAGAAATGTTAAACTCTGTGCTCACTTACAATATGCTTACTGGACATCTGCAGACACCCAGAGACTTACTGCCATCCCTTACTATAGATGCCCCCTGTAGCTGAAGCCCTACAGGTAGTCCTGATCTCTGTGGTCATTTGGGTGTGGTGGCATGCTTTTAGTTTGGATCACATATTGTGAATGTTGCTTTGTTTCTAACTGCTGTAAATAAGTCACACATCATGGAGTACATTAGTCTGGCAGTGTGTGCTTATAACTGTTTGGTTTTGGCATGTTATTGTTGGTGGTGGTGTTGCAGCATGTGAGTGTTTGTGTGTAAATTGTGTTAATGCTTCTATACTGTATTAATCTATGTGTATTTTTTATGCTCATTTTGTTTCAGGTGTCTGTATTTCTAACCTTTCGCACTTCTTCACACTTCTACTCTATAGCGGACATAAATTTGAGGCTGCTGTGCATTTTTCTGTTACATATATGTTTTCTACTTTAATTCTTGACACTGAACATGAATAACTTGTACTTAAAGCTGCTCTATGTACGTTTTTGGTTAAAGTCGAAAGAAGTAGCATTACTGAATCAGGAGGAAAAAACAAGCAAAAAGCATGTGCTCTGCTGTGAGTCACACTGTAAAGCCTGAAATAATCACTGAATCATTGAAACACACTAAATCCATGTGTTGTTCTTTAGTATACAGTGCTACTCTGGCGGTGAATTTCTTTGGCTGTATGGCGTGGATGTTCGGTGGAGGGGGCGTGACTAACTTCGGCATGTCCATCATCTGGCTGATCCTCTTCACACCATGCTCCTACGTGTGCTGGTTCAGACCCATCTACAAGGCCTTCAAGTGAGTCTCAGTAAGCCTGCGTCACCCTTGTCTGCTCCTGTAGTTCCCCAGTACTGCAGGTATTAGATTTCTCCTAAAGCATACATTTAACTTAAATGATTTAGGAATGAACCCATGACCCATGATTTGAGCCAGGTGTGCTGGGAGTTGAGAAAACACTGAGGGCCAGTTCCCCAGACATGAATTAGCTCTAGTCTTGGAATAACTGCGGTTCCAGTGGTGACTCTCTATTGGAAATTTGTTTTAGTCTAGTCTTTAGCTTAACCTGGATCTGAGAAACTGGCCTTGCCTGGGGTATTGAGGACAAGGATCCAGAAACTAGACCCTTACCCACAACTTTGAGAACCAACTGGAACCTGCATACACAGTGCACGCACTACGTGATGGATCATTGTAGACATGGTTTTACAGTGCTTTGCTTTGTTCCTAAGCGCTTGAATTGATTAATATTATATGAACTTTTTATTGTAACTGACACTGACTTAAATGGTGCGAGATGCACTCTGACTCTGACATTTGTTTCTTGCTAGTAGCTGCTGCAGTAAATGTTTCCCTGAAGAGTCGACATGCAAGTCCTTCTGCTATCAAAGCCCCAAACACTAGTGCAAGCTCTAAACTGTACATGACCAGTGTGCTTTTTATCTGACGTAACAACCATGTTCTCATACTTCTACAGTGAAGACATCCTTGATACATGTGCTATTTTAAACAATTCCACTTGAAGCAAACATTCTTCGAAATTTGTCCATGGTGAACAGTTAGACCAGCTTTGTTGTACATATAGTAGACTATACTAGATAGAGAGAGTGTGCAAGATTTATGTCGGCATATTCTTTAAAATGAAAAAAAAAAATTCAAATACATAAAAAATATCTCTTTAGAAAATAAACCCGATGTTGCATATGAAAAAATTGGCCTGAACATGTCCCAATATTTTGACGGGCCTCCTTGGCCCCAGGTTGGGTTGCAGCCCTCTGCAAAAGACAGTACATCATAACACTTTTTTTGGATGGTCCACTGTAGATGCTTTGTAGATGCTCAGTCTATCTTTAAGTAACATTCAAATAAATATCTATTAAATATAACTGAACTTGAATTTGTGTGTAAAAGATTCTGTTAAAACTATCCCTAACCCTAACCTTAACCCCATCTACACCTACTCCTAAACCTAAGCCCAATCTTAATGTTGTTGATAATCAACTGAGTATCACCAGAAATATTGTTAAGCTCTGTAGATCATCTATGGAGGACCATCCACATAAAGTGTGAGCAGTTATTGTTATATGGTGTGATTGTTTAGAAATTCTTTATAGAAATCTAAAAATATTCTGTAAAGTTTCTTAAATTTTTTATTATAGTTGTCTCTTCAGCTAGCAATCATGCTATGGCCTATTTGCTTTCCTTTACTTCACATGAACTTAAAGTTAGCTAGCTAACAAGTAACTGGCTAAAAACTCAGTAGCCAGCTATACTGAATGTAATTTGCACAAATTCATATTATAGGGATATTATTATAGGGGTATATATTATATAATTCATACTGTAAGCCCCACTTACAACTGGTTTAGCGATGCTCCTGTTGGACAAACAAAACAACCTAAATGTTAGACAGGGGAAAATGTAAAAATGTTAAATTACATAATACAACCAAAAGACAATAAAATATAGCTGACTATGTTATTTGCCCACCTGATCAACATTGACCAAATACTAGAAAACATTAGCTGATCTGGTTGGGTAACTTGTCACGAGATCCTTACCTTCGTAGCGATGCAGGTAATTCTCGAACAAAAACTTTGTCCAGCAAACGAACGATGTCTTTCATGGAAAAATTAAGTAAATATGTTAATGAGGTCCTCCACATTCTCATTTATAAACAGTCACCACTTCTGCTGTGTCGAATACAGAGGTGTGAAAAGGGTTTCTTCTGTTATAATAAGTGGCAGTATACTAAAATACTACATTACATAAATATCTCCTTTTTGAGTTGGAACACTAAGAAGCAGTTTGACACTTGTTTGTGCTGAAAGTTTTGCTTTATATGAAGAATAATTTATTTTTGGTCCAAAAGATATAGGGGTATTCTGGGTTCAACTGTTTGACATCAATTGTCATGGGAGCTCCTACGATGTCCACTACTTGACATTTTTGAGAGCTCTTATTTATAGGGCAGCAAACAAGGCCTACGGCTTTGACAGTTTGGGACAAAATAGAGTTTCCTCCTCCTATCTGCCATCATCTCAACCTGCCCATCTGTTGTCTTTAGGACAGATAGCTCGTTCAACTTCATGGCTTTCTTCTTCGTCTTCATGGCTCAAGTTATTATCACCATCATCCAAGCCATCGGCATTCCAGGATGGGGCGTCTGGTAAGACTCTGACATTTTTCTGCCTTTTTAATATACACATTTCATGTATGACTGGATAGAGTCGATGTTCTTATTATTGAAGTCTTTGTCTTTATGAAACAGCTATTCTTACACTGTATGAAAAATAATATCTTTTCCTCTGTTCCACCAGTGGCTGGTTAGGGACCATTGCCTTCTTTGGCACCAGCATCTTTGCCTCTATCATTATGTTGATTCCCACCATCATGTTTACGGCTGTCGCTGCGCTGTCCTTCATCGCCCTCACTAAGGTAGCGCAGTGCAGTAAAGTCGCACAGAAACTTTTCTTCAGATCCTCTTCTATCAGTCATTCTAACTTTCTTACCAGTATAGCTTCTAACGTTCTTACCAATGTACCTTGTAACTGTAACTGTCACTAAAAGTACATTTAGTCAGTGCATTTTGGTGCAATCTTTCAAATGCCTTCTATAACTTAACAATGTATGGCATCCAGTTTTCCATGTAATTGCTAAATAATTAGCATTAGGACAAATAAGCTAAATTTAAGGTGTTAAAGAAATACTGTGGTGTTTTTCAACCAAATCTCTAACTGTTATATCTGTAACATACAGTCAAAGACCAGGGACAACAATTTAATGCATTTTCCTGTACTTAGAAACAAACTGAAAACATCTTGACTCAACACACAACAGAATCCTTTGGACAGTTGCTGAATTCCCCTCACTAAATGAGAATGCAAAACACGTTTTTTTTGTGGGACAATTTCAGTAAGAATTCACAAAAATGCTCTACAAAAAAGCTGCAAGTCTAAATCCGATATGATGCAGATGTGGCAGATAGATGTAAGTTAACTTTTAAGGTAACCTTTTTTTTACAGTTACCATAAAATGCAAGCTCTGCCTATTTTTGAGGTCACTCGGTTAAACTATATACATTGTTTTCTTCAATAAAATTGATGGAATTTATTTTAATGTATATGTGTATGGTTTACAAAATAAGCAAATTGGATTTTTCTTATAAGCAAGCAAGACAACAGTATTAATATGTATTTATTGTATATGTAAGTGCTATTCTGACAGTTGCAATTTTTTTGATATCAAAAAAGCTGGAGTGCTGTCCTTTTTATCTTGTAGTGTCTTTGTGGAGAGGTGCGAAATTGTTCGCCCCTCGTTGCTCGCTAGCAGCTTAACACAAAGTCACAACATTTCACAGACAGAGAGCAACAGTGTCCTTGTTAATATGATTGCAAATATTTTATTTCATTATATTGATTAAAAATATTTAAATTGATGGTGACATTTTATTCTGAGTGGTCATTTTAGATAACAAAAATGACCACTAACAGTAACATGTCAAAGACATATGAGGGTTAGTATTAGGTTTTGGGTTGAGATTAACAATACATCTACTTAATGTAAGTAATGTATCAACAGAACATCTACAAGATATTTACTGTAATGTATTCAGATGCTTCATTACTGCTACTTCGCTGATATGTTGTTGATGTGTTACTGAATATCTGTTAAGAGTTTAGTAATCATCTACAAAGGATCACTCCAAATAAAGTGTTACCAAATTGATTTCCACTCCACTGGCAGGATGGCCACTAGAGGGCGGACAAAGAGAAGCTACAGAGTGCCAGGGTTTGCCTTTAAGACTTGCTTCTTTGGTCAATCCACCAGGTTCATAACTTCTACCGTGGCAGTGGTGGTAGCATAAGCAAGGCTCAGGAGGAGTGGACCACAGGGGCCTGGAAAAACCCCCATGTGCAGCAGGCCGCACAGCAAGCAGCACTCGGGGCTGCTCAGGGAGCCATGCAGCAGCAGCAGTACTCCACACCCAACTACGACAATCAGATGTGAAGAAGTACTCAACTACAAAAGCAGGGGAAACTGGAAGATTGTCAAAGTCAGAGCACATGGCATTTGCTTCCTCTCTGTGAAGTAGGCCAGCCCAGAGCTGTTTGGGAATGTGTACTTCATGGGAGAAACAAACCTAACTGTTTCCTGCTTATTTATAGTTTGACATCTACACCAGTTAGTGATATTAAATGTGTATGTTTTTGTTAGTTGTATATTTGTAATTCAAACAGATTTCAGAGGTAAAACCATATATGTAATAATAACAACTCTACTGTAACCTTGGTCCATTATGTCCGATACATTTAATATAAGTTTGTCATTTACAGTTGTGTTGTACATCAACTAGGAATCAAACCATTTTCTCAACACATTCGTTTTATATCTAATCCAGAGCATGTCTAATGTGTATGCAACCGTAGTAACTACATACTGATTTACCATCCACACACATTTGTCCCAAATGCTCATTATGCACATTATTTATTAAAAAAAGGGAATTTTCTATAAAACTCTGAAATGTCTACTAGTCTAGAGGAAGGAATATAATAAAAAGTCTCAGGTAAACAAGCTACAACTTAAGTTTTAGTAGTACATACTGTATTTAATACTGTTATTATATATTATAATAGTATTTATTATTTGCTGTTTTATTTATTTATTATGGAGTTTGGTGATGTTTATAGGTTTTCTATAGGGATAAGTGTAATTTGTGTACTCTGCCATGTTCTGATAAGGGACATATAGCTTATAATAATGTAGTACATTATTTTATGCATACAGTCGTATGCAAAAGTTTAAACATCCCAATCAAATTCTATGTTTTGTTGAGTTTTAAGTGAAAATAAGTTAATAAGTTAACAGAGAACAAATGAAAACATGGCACCTGTGAATTTTATTAGTCCATTTGTTTTGAGTTCATGAAATATTTCCTATGGCCATCATATATATATATATATATATATATATAATATATATATATATATATACCATTCACCATTGTGTTCCATTCAGCAAATAATCAGTAATTGTGTATTAAAATGTACAGAAGTGTGTTCTCTGTAGAGGATGAATTAAATTATTTTCACTTAGAAAATCAGCAAAACATGTAATTTGACCAGGGGCAGCCGAGCTTTTGCAAACAACTAGACTAGAAAGTTAGACAGCTAGAAAGTTAGACTTTCAGAGATTCATGTTATTAAATAATCTGGAAAAGGTATTGACCCAACCATACTGAAAGTATGTGTTATATCATTTGTATTTGACACTGGATGTATTGATACTGATACATAAAACTTTAAATGACCAAATATTTATATAAATGCATAAATATTTTTGTTATTATGTTCAAAGAATTTACATCTCTTGTCAATGCAAAAATAGAAAAATAAAATTGAAACAAACCATCTTATTCCAGTATTTATTTATTTAGCTAGCTAGTTAGTTAGTTTTTTCTTATTTTTATTTATTTAGTTAGGATTGTGGTTTCAGTACATTCGCATGATTTTAAGTGTAAAACTACACAGACATACTCCATTATCAAATTCCAAAGTCCACCAAAAGGGGGCAGTATTGTTCCAAAAGATGAATTGTGCAGTTCTGTTCTCTCGCCACAGAGGGCAGTATTTTTTATATATTTATTTTTTTTTATTTTTCTTTGTTTCAAATCCCTGATTTCCCTTGATGCTCCTCTGACGGAACGTGCAGTCCAGATTCCAGATTTCCTGTTAGCTTAGCGGCAGTGTTGCCACTGTGTCCTCTATCAGCTTTTCAGACCAATACATTCAGTCTCAGTAAAACACAAATTTAACCAGGTGTGCTTTCACCTTGGTGTCCTTTGAGAGTGACCGGATTAGAGTGGAAACCCCTTTAAATAGATTTATTTCTCCCTCTTTCTTACTGGCCATGCTTTAGCCATGTGGTTCTGCTGCCTGAGGCCTGACATTAGACCTCTTTCCAAGGCTTGGATGAAAGTCTAGCTTTGCATTCTAAAGAAGTCACAGTCAGTGTGTAAAAGCAACCAACAATGTTCGGCTCCTGCAGCTCTGTATGAACATTGTGTGTGTGTATATATATATATATATATATATATATATATATATATATATATATATATACACAAAAATTTCATGAACAGTGTACATATATTAAATGAATATTAACTTGAATGACATGAATATTAAATGAATATTAATATGTATATAAAATCAATATTTGCAAACAATGAGAGACATTACTAAAACAACACTGAAATGTTGTTGAAGCATTCATGTCATTGTTAAAAAGTTTAATTCTATTCATGACAAATCTAAATCTTCCAATGTTACTTTAAAGGAAATCCAAATATAACTGTACATATAAAATACGTTCGAAACAATAGATTGAACATTTTTAAGTATTATTTTTACAACTGTTAATATAATGCTTAGGGTTTGGGACAATCACCTCCCAATGGAAGGTACTCTTTAAATGCTGATTTTGTATACATTTAGCTTATTACTGTTCATTTTTAAATGCCTTTTAAATATAAATCCCATTTCTGGAAAAGTTGAGACATGCAATAAAAAAAATGCAAGAATCTGTGATTTGTTCATGCTTTTAACCCCTCAACAAGCCATGGGTCTGCCAGCAGGCCCAAAGTTTTATAATATACTTCTATAACACTTCTATAACAGCTCCACTAGTTTGCACTGAAGTCCCTGTAGTTACTAAATAATAAGCCTTGTATAAAATAAACCTGGAATGCTAAGGGGTTAAACCTATATTTAACTGACTTTAATGTTTTGGCTGACCAATTTCATTGTATTTTGTAAATATATAAAAAGTTGAATTTGAAAAAAAAAAGCAAAATAAGAGTGAAAAGTTTATAGAGTATTATAGAGTATTCAAGTTACACTGTTTTGAAACATTCCACAATAAGCCAGTGAATTGGTCACAGGTGAGGGTGTCATGTTTGGGTACAAAAGGAGCATCCACCAAGGTATCACTCTTTGCAAGCAAAAATGGGTTGTGGCTCACCACTTTGTGCCAAACTTTCTGAGAAATGTCAAACAGTTCAAAAAGAACATTTTTCAACACAATATTGCAAAGAATTTAGGTCTTTCACCGTCTATCATACATAATATTGTGAAATGATTCAGTTTCAGGGAATTCAGATACATCCCAATCAGGGCAAGGCCAGAAACCACTGCTGAATGTACATGAACTCCAAGCCCTCAGACAGCATTTCATGCTACTTTGTTAAACGTAGCCACATGGGCTTGGGAGTATTTCAGAAAACTGGTGTCAGATAACACAGTACTGCATGTGCCGGTGCATAAAGAAATGCAACTTGTAACTCTATTACACAAGAAGAAAGCCATACATCAATTACATGAAGAAACACCGCCGAGTTCTCTGGGCCCAAGGTCATCTCAGATGGTCTGAGAGACAGTGGAAATGTGTGTGATAAGAGGAGTGAACCTTTCAGCTTGTTTTTGGGAAAAACAGATGTTGAGTTCTCCATGCCAAAGATGAAAGAGACTATCCAGACTTCAGCGAAAGGTGCAAAAGCCAACATCTGACATAGTGTAGGGTGCATCAGTGCCCACGGCATGTAAAGATACCACTAATGCAGAGACATATATTGGGAATTTAGAGAAACATTTGCTGCCATCAAGATGACGTCTTTTTCCTGGAAATCCATGGTTATTACAGCAGGATAATGCCAGGCCTCGTTCTGTGTGTGCTACGACAGCGTGGCTTTGTAGACACAAAGTGTGTGTGCTTGGCCTGCCTGAAGACACAATCTGTTTCCTATTAAAAAAATATAGAGCATCATGAAGGGGAGAATCAGACAACGATGACCATAGACTGTAAAGCAGCTGAAGCATCAAGCAAGAATGTGCAAAAACTTCACTTGCAAAACTGCAACAATCAGTATCCTCAGGTCCCAAACGATTAAAAGTGTAATTAATAGGAAAAATGATGTAACACAGTGGTAAACATGCCTCTGCCCCAAGTTTTTTGAGTATTTTGCAGGCATCAAATCCAGGCAAATTTGTTTATATTTACAAAATGCTATTAAATTGGTGCTTGGAAACATTGGACATAATTTCTTCAAGGTTCAATAGAATTAACAAATCACAGATTCTTGTTTCTTATTGCATTTTACAAAATGTCCCAACTTTTCCAGAAATAGGATTAGTACAATTGCAACATAGTGATTATAATGATCCAAAGGCTCAATACCTACTTGGTTTTTTTTAGATAGTTATTTGAACTAATTTGGTCCATATAAATATATACTTAATTCACAGCTTTGCCCTTAAATTGTATGTTTTTTTTTTTTCAAATTATTTTTAAATTGTACATTTTAACAGCAAAAGCAAAGCTGTTACTTCAGTAGTTACTGAATAATTGATAGAAGATAGAACTTACTGAATATAATAAGTCTTGGGATGAATAAGTATAGAATAAGCCTAATGTTCAGGGGGTTAAATGTACAGTGTGGTAGTTTTAGTGGAGGCATCCAGTTTTGATAAAGTAACGGTCATTTGTCCATGATCTCATTTCTCTGCAGTGGTATTTGGGTCAGCAGTGGAGTCTGAAAGAGAAAACAGTCCACTCCTGACATGCAGTCCCAAGACTAATAACCATCTCTCAAACCCATTCAGCTGTCATCCTGTGGCCTTCTAGCCTTATCAATATTATGAATAAGGTCCATACAGAGAGCTGACAGGGCTTTCTGCTGCAGTAAACACGTTGCGAGTCTTGGTGTGGTTCTGGGCTGGGTGGAGATCAGAAGAGCTGAGAGAGAGGGGGAAGGGTGGGTAGGGGAACTCAACACGCACAGAAAGACCCTGTCTACAACCGCACTGACCACCAAAACACAGAGAGCTTTATGTAGTTCCTCTCCAGGGTGAGAGAGGTGCGCTGTCCTGCTGTAGAAACACACATATAATCTCTTTGTGCTTTCTGTTACCTTCCTCTCTCTATCTCTCTCTCTCTCTCTCTCTTTCTCTTTATATATATATATATATATATATATATATATATATATATATATATATATATATATATATCTCCCCATCATTTCTCTCTTCTTCCTTCTGTCACAAATCTCCTTTCTCTCTTTGCATTTCTCCATTCTTTGTCTCTGCATCTTTTTTCTGCATTTTTCCTCCCTCCCTGCTTCCTTCTCTCTCTCTCTCTCTCTCTCTCTCTCTGCATTTCTTCACTCCTTTTCTTTCTTTTTCTTCTTC